TGTGTTAATTTCATAAAAAACAACAATTTCAATTTAGATCGTTTGACTTACAATATAGATTCAAACATGTAATTTGCTTTTCATTTTCTCATTTAAAAAGAACTGAGGCAATTGTTCTGGGAAGTAACCTAACTAATCCATGACCAACTTAACCAAACTAAGACAAAATCACTGTACTAAACGCCCATCGATATGACGACCTTACTACCCGTGAAGAATTTCAAAAATGTTTTCCAAAGTTTAAAGTTTCTCCGAATCACGTTGAATATGGTATTCATCTGCTAGAGGTACGGTGACGACACCAGAATCAGAAACAAAAGTTTTCTGTAAAGTTTAGGGTAGACCGTAAGAGCGCACTTTCGTACAGCCAACATGCAAATGGTAAATCCATGCTGAAAAGTTTCCTAACAAAACTGTGAGGTGAGGAACATTTCAACTCTCTCGAAGATTTTTATTTCTCAGATTTTAAAAAAAAAATAAATTGCAGGTTTTGAATTTAATGCTTTTCTGTACAGTTAACTGATGAAGTCGATTGTTTTTTGTTGTTTTTTTTTTTTTATCAATATAGGCAAAATCCTTGTAACTGCATTTTCACAAATTTCAGTAATAGCCTTGGTAAATTACTAATATCAACTAAGCAAATTTCATCGGACATATTTAGGTGTGTCTATAGATTGCGGTTTTGCTTTCTTTGTAGCGCACAGAAGAATTTTTATGTTGTTCATTCAATGTATTTTCCCAAGCAACGTCACTCTGGTCAACTTTGAATGTAGATAAGAGGGAAGCATTGATGTAAAGGCACGGTATTTCCGACAATATGAAGACAATCACGACACTTAGAACTAAGAAACATTATTTCTTTTCAGATGCCGACCCTGAAGAATGTCCGAGGATTCGTTTCCGTCGACAAAGTGTTAGTATGATAAAACATGCATGATGACAAAATCAGAGCTATGATTGCTAATGTTGAAATCACTGTGAAAGGGATAGGAAAGAATGACAGAATATATTTTTATATGGTAGTTCGGGTAGGATACTGCACAAATGTTGTTCTTACTTCGATATGATCTGATTACCAACATTCTGGATGAAAAACTCTGCTAGTTCTGTGATATAGACATTTAGCATGTTTATGATGGTGTATTGCTGGAACCTTAGCGGAAGGAATTGTGGTTAATTTTCGTATGACGAAGACAAAGAATTTCGATCGATTAGTTGGGGTTTGGGCTGGCATCTCGGTGGCTGCTAGTGGTCCTTTGTTGGTGTATGCTGATCATTGTCATTTTGCTTGATTTCTTCTGTTGCCTGTTCTGGCGTCAGACTCGGGTTTCTGTTGGGCTTGGTTTTGCTGAGTGTGCTTGTGTTGTGTGTTTGTTTGCTCCATATTGGCTAGAGATATATGGGGAGGGTTGAGATCTCACAAAACATGTTTAGTCCCGCCGTATTTTTGCGCTTGTCCTAGGTCAACTTTTCATTGATTTTTGTAATTAAACATATGAAAATAGTGGAAACAACCATGTTTGGAGTGTACAAAAATCTTTGGATGTTTTTGATAAATATCGTGCTTTTTGTGTTTCTTTTGATTCGGTTGACAATTTTGACTTTTCGACCGTATACTACACTTCCACGCAATCTTTTCCTATTTAATTGAATGATCGTTTGATTAATCTGGTTGCAATTTTATTTGCTGCAACTCATATAAATAGATATAAGAAGATGTGGTATGAGTGCCAATGAGACATCTCTCCATCCAAGTCAAAACCATTATAGGTCAAAATATGGTCTTCAACACGGAGCATTGGCTCACACCGAACAGCAAGCTATAAAGGGCCATAAGAATTACTAGTGTAAAACCATTCAAACGGGAAAACCAACGGTATAATCTATATAAAAAACGAGAAACACTTATGAACCACATCAACAAACGACAAATACTGAACATCAGATTCCTGACTTAGGACAGTTGCAAACAATTGCAGCGGGTTTAAACGTGTTAATGGTACCAAACCTTCACCCTTATCTGAAACAATAGTGCAATATCACAACATAGAAAAACACACTATAAAATATCAATCGATATGGCTTAACTCAATCAAAAGACATATTAACACCAGTGAACATACACTGAACAAATACATTTGATCTATGATACAATGCAAATACAAAATAAATAAACTAAGGGAAGAATAATTAAAGTAACATGTTATATCGCTGTGAAATGTTAAACAATTTAAGAAAAACAATATACTTGAACAAAAATATCAGCCATTTGGAATTACTTTAAACACAGGTAAATAAAATTATTTTGTTGTTAGGTATACGTGTACAGTTCAAGGAAATATTTAAAAAAAAAAAAAAATTTTGATGTTCATAGTACGAAGAAGTGAAAATTTATAGTAATACCAAACACTTATCAAAGCTGGTATATAGACCAGATATAGCCCCGAATAATATTAAATAACAAAAAAGCATTACAATTAGTATCAACAGGTCATAAACATAAACAAGAAAGTACGATTTGAGAGTACTCGCAGTTACTGACAGCTAGTTAGAAATAATAAAAAATCATGCACCAGAGACTAAAATCAACTAAAACACATCCCAGGGATTAAGTATTTTAACATCATGGACAGTCAAAGAAGACATGACTTGTGCAATGCCAAAAATAAATGTATCGACAGGCAGTAGGCTAGTTAGGAGTTAACCTCTTTATAGATCAAAATGAACGTGGGTATGTCTAAGCCTTTTTCTTTAATGAGAAATGTAAATATGCTAGATATACTTACTAGTTTAGTTTAAACATATTTTATTGTTCAAAAATGACAAATGGATTATACTTACTGGCGGTGTGATGAGATGATTAAAGTCGTAAAATTGTCTCCTTGATAACAATGATGTACGTTTCGTCAGTAAAGCTTATCGACAGGTTGTAGGTATTCCTATGGGCACCAATTTTACCCCTTTAATAGCAGACTTGTTCCTTTACTGTTATGAATAACAGTTCATGCATGGCCAAACTCAGTAAAGACCCGTCTAAATTTAATTGATAAATTCAACAACTCTTACCGTTAACTTGATGATATGTATTCGTTAAGTAATCAAGAGTTTTCTAAATATACTGCCGAAATTTATCAAAAGGATCTTACTTTGAATAAATCGAATATTAAAAGCAATAACTGTCCTTTCCTAGATTTAAATATTTCAGTTTTACACCAGAAACTGATTTATGTTTAATTGCTAGTAGTAAGAGCAGTGAATATGATTCACCGTTGATAAGGATAAGCTAATAAGCTTGCATATCCTATTTTATTGTTACCTCTTTATCTTCAATGCTTGTCATATAGCTGAATTTTTCATGTTCATAATGGTGTTTGTAATGATGACAATACTCTAAACATTAGACGTACGATGCTATAATTATTATCATTACACGTGAATGAAAAAAAAGGTTTGCTTGTGATCACTCATTCAAAGGGGTGAACTCATAAAATCTAATTTTTTTTGTAGTAGGAACTAGTCATTTTCTTTCATTGGGAGAGGGGGATGGGGGATGGGAGGAAATATATGATTTTCTTTTTTTTAAGTCCCCACCTTGAAGAAGGGAAATACATTCAAGACCCCCACTTCAAAAGACATGAAAACTTCACCCCACCCCAACACGTTTAGAACAAAAAGTACTTGTATACAACTTCTATTTATATTATCACTATTTAATAAAATAGTGCATCAGTATTGAAAAATAAAAAAAAGGGGAAAGTTGTTTGTGACTACAGGGAACTTTATTTAGAGAAGCCTGTTAATGGTCTCATTGACATTTACCACACCTTCATTCAATTTTAGCACTTTGTTTTTATCCTTATCAATGTTTATTAAAGAAGTAAGTAAGTTATTTCAGATGAAAATACTTTCTTGGAAGAACATGCTGAAACTTAGGATTTTTTCCTGAACAACTGTGCTGAGCGGAGCGAGGCAAACAAATTTAATGTCTTAATAAAAAAATATAAAATATAATTTATTGTTACCTGCAATTTCCGTATGAAATCGGGTCCCTGTCTAGAAATACATTTCGGCAATTGTCTCAGAAGTAACAATAATTATTTCTTATTGTTTTTTTTTTGCGGGTAATCGTAGCCAGTGCATTTATCATATGGAAAGGGGTATAAATTTTAATATTAAGAAACCTTTCGCGAAAAACTGTAAAAACTGAAAGACATCAAACCATTATTTCCTATTTTTGTCATTCTTCATGTCCAACAAACAAACAGAAGATGGTCATGACTCACATGAATAAAATATTTAACATTGAAACAAGGATTTTTATAGTCTTACTATACAAATCCTTGATTGAAATAAAGTGTGAAGCTAAAAGCTATAACACTATAGTTATAGATATGGCATATGAATCAAGTGTTAGACGCTTCTGTTGAATAGTCAGATATTATTGATTTAAAGTATCCCTCAAATTAGCTATAGTTTTTGCATATTTGAAATTATGAATTGCTAAACTCTTGTTAAGACTTTACGATGCCCCCATTTAAGTATTATTAAATTGAACCCCTTTTCCATTCCCCAAAAGCCCCCCCCCCCCACCCACCCCCCTCAATTTCCCCCCACTCCCACTTCAGTTTGCAAATGACCAGTTCCTTAAATAACTTTTTAGCGGATGCTAACATCGTTTACTCTACTTTGAAACCATAGGTGTCGTTTAAAAGGCAGGATTTTCATGAAGACAAGAAAAGAGAAGACAATGCTTGTCGTATTTTTTTTTACCTTTTTCACTACCCTTCTTGAACAAATCTCAATTTTTTCTCAAGGAACTAAGAATCGGACATTTTTATTAAAATGAAAAACAAAACCCAAAGCATTCACAAAAAAGATGAATGATCGATGCCAAAAACATATAATTTATATACTCAAGATTGGAAACAACGTTAATTGTGCGTCGATCTTGGTTCGAGCTCGGTAATAATAAATACCTATTTTATCATGTAATGTATATCCCGCAAAATATATAAATTATTTTTAGCAACAGAAAACTGAAGGAAAGGAAGTTTTATATCCAGATGAACAGGATTGAATAATATGGTATGACAAACAGTACATCTTTCTTACATTACAGTAGCATCATGAAACAACAATCAGAAAGATTTCACTTTCTACTTTTAACTTTCACTTTCAAAGATATCTTTACTTTCACTATCGATATATAGAAACAAAGAGTTATACTGGATTTCTTATTTCAACGGAATGGTGCATGCTTAGGTCTACTAAAATCGGTCACTTTTAAGAATTCAAAAAGCTTACACAGGAAAAAGTATAAAAAACAATCTGATTATTACATTGATTCTTTTAAATAATTGTGACATCGAAATATTTTGCCGACATCAAACGAGTGTTACAATGTAAGTTTAACTGCCATCAGTCATACACATTATATTTGATGACAATACAGATGATTATGTACGAACATAAATATAATACAAATAACTTGTATTAGCTGTTTACTATCAATTCCAAGTTTACTATCCACAGCGGTCACTGATAATTAGGGCCCCGATGAATGGTGTACGGCCTATAGTGATCAGTCTGTCCGTCTGTCCATTCGTCCGTAACAAATTGTGTCCGCTCTATATCTAGAGAACCGATGATTTCAAAGTTTATACTTGACATGTATATTAACAACACCAGAGGGTGTGTCATAATGTATGTACAACTTCCTAGGTCAAAGGTCAAGGTCAAAAACTTTGGTTTTAGTTGACAACCCCATGTCCTATGATAAAGATCGTGTCTGCTCTATATCTTGAGAACTGTTATGATTTCAAAGTTTATACTTGACCAACACCAGAGGGTGTGTCATAATTTATGTACAACTTCCCAGGTCAAAGGTCTAGGTCCAAAACTTTGGTGTCAGTTGACAACCCCATGTCCAATGATAAAGATACAAAATTTTACCACACATTATTCACAGCAGGGCCTACAGAGATGGCTCCAATCTCAATGATATCTAGTTGATACTAGATAGCAAATATACGTACAAGTTATTTGTAGTATATTTATGTTTGTATAATAGAGAAAAATGCAAAAATAATTGAAATTAATAGAAAATAAAAAAAATAACGGATTTTGGAAAAAAAGGGGGAGGCTAGAAAAATTATCCTGTCCCTAAGTACCAATGATTGATTTTTGTTTGCTTTAAATCCAGTGGCAAATTTATCTTTCAATGTACAGGAGGAGAACAAGTTTACAATAAACACAATAGGTCTTCAATAGGGGTCGATCTGGACATGGAAGGGAAATTTGGAATACCACAGAAAAATGAGGATATATTTTAACAACAAAATTTTAATGATGACATCACTGGGTGGATGGCACTGCTGGTGGAGGTTTCCTCCCTTAAAGTATCACCAGCCCAGTATACAGCACTTTGTCTTGTGTTCTATCATTAATATGGTCACAATTATAAATTAACTGTTTTTTTTTTTATAAATCAAATCAAATAACTTTATTGGTGTAAATTCCAATACAGGAATGATACCAGCTGACATTTACAAAATACAAATACAAAAACAGACAAAAATAAACAAAAAACAAATATACAGAGATATGTTTTCTCAATGATAAGAGACACATATTTTATATCTACATTGCGTGGAGGTGTTATTCATACTATATTATCACTTCAAGCTATAACAATACGCTTTAATACTACAACAGTTCTTAACAACATTATGTTTGCTTTAAATGAATGTTTGAATCATACATATCGCATATTCCAGCTACACATACAGTACAAATGTCAGTATCATTACTTTTCAAAATGAAACTAGATTTATCTTGTTCAGACATATTAACAAAAGATGGAACTATATCACTTAAATTACAAAAGAGTATATTTCTATTAAATTCTAAAGCTTTACATTTAATGAGGAAATGGAATTCATCTTCAATTCCATCCTTGCATAGTGGACAAATTCTCTGTTCTAAAGGTATTCTAGTATATCTACCAACTTCTATTAGTAATTTGGTATTACTACTGTGGATTCATTATTATTCGTTGGATACCAATTTTCGTGGGTTTCGTGGGTACAGATGATCCACGAATTCAAATGTTCAACGAATAACATATTTTCAATAGACTTTGCATACAGAAATTGACAAAACCACGAAATCAAATATCCACGAATATGCAAGTTTTCATTAATCCACGAAAATTGATACCCACGAAAATAAATGAATCCACAGTAATTCTAATCTATTGGATTCTCTTCCCCTGGAATAGATCACATTAGCTGTTTTTGGCAAAACCTTTCCGAATTTGGGTCCTTAATGCTTGATCTTTAACTTTGTTCTTTATTTGGCCTTTTGAACTTTTTGATTTGAGTGTCACTGATTAGTGTTTTGTGGACATAATTTGCGTCTGTGTAGAAATTTTTAATCCTGGTATCTATATGAGTTTATATTTTATAGGGACAGGAATTAAATTTAACCTTGCAACAGGTGCCCTCAAAGAGGTGTTGCAAGGGTTCTTAACATGCAGAAAGCGTGGCACTCTCTCTTAATGAGGCATTGGATTTATTGTCCCCATTCTGATACCAGCTTTCTTTTCCCCAGTCACCCTTGAGGTATCATTTTGTTTAGGGATGTTGACTCAAATTTTTATATCTTATTGACTGTAGATGGCAGGTCAACTATAGGTCTTAAACTTTTTTAATGATACATTTGTATTTGTTATTATTCAGTTTTAATTTCAGAATCACCTTCATTATGAACCCTCAAAGCCCAATATTTGAAGGCAAAGGATGCATAAGAACCATTGTTGTCTAGACAATGAGTAAAGAAATTAGATGTAAATTTGAAAATGATTGGAATATATATTGTCAGGGGTTCAAATTTACTTTAAGCAATGGAAGGTCCAGTTGAGCAAAAAGACTGAAAGGTCCTATATTCTTAGATATAGAAGGTCCAATTTTAAGTGAACTTAAACATTCAATTGATGCTTACCCTTCCAAAGCTCTCATTGTGTGTTGATTTCTGTTTATGCTAGTATCTGAAAAAAACCATGCATCCAATGTTTTGGCAAAGATGGTATCTAAGCTAGGTCTGTTCTTTTTTTGAATTAAAACTTTGTGAAAATTTAAGTTTACTGCTTTTCATATTTTATTTGTTTACTCTTTATATGTAAAAAAATTTTATCAGTCACCCCCAAAGTATCCCCCATTTCATCAGGTTTTCTGTTTGAAGAGGTCCCCCCAAATAGATAACTTTACATAGTTGTTTCTTATGATGGTCAAATGATCTGTATACTTTTTGGTGAAAATAAGATTAAAACTTTTTGAGTTACGGGAATTAGTAACTAAAACAGGTGTGTGTTTTTTTTCACATGTCACGCCGTATCTCAAAAAAAATTTATGATTATTGCTTAAAACTTTACACACTTCTTAGTTATATTAATCTTAAGATCTGTATACTTTTTGGTGATGATTCAAAATTTTATTTTTGAGTTATTGAGTATTTTGTAAAAAAAGGGGGAGGGGTTTTTCACATGTCGCGGCGTATCTCAAAAACGATATATGATTATTGCTTAAAATTTTACACACTTCTTAGTAATATTAATCTAAAGATCTGTTTACTTTTTGGTTTTGATTCAAAATTATACTTTAGAGATATTTATTTATTTTTTTTTAAAAAGGGGGGTTTTCGCATGTGGCGCCGTATGTCAGAAACTATTTATGATTATCGCATAAAAATTCACGCACAAGACAACGGGCATATCATGCCCTCATGGCGCAGCTGTTTATAATACTAGATTTATAGATTTTATTCAAAATACTTTTGGATTTTTTTCAATCTGCAAGAAATAATAGTCCATCTGGTGTAGCTAACTATTCCAGCGGTAAGGTAAGAATCCAAAAATGGAAGGTCACAGACCTTGGACCACCGCTAATTTGAACTACTCATTGTATTTCAAAGTACCAAATTGATTTTTTTTCGTAAAAATAAATATGTCTTAGGTATAAAGTTACACCATTCATGCCATTTATTATGTTTACAAATAAAAGTTGCTGGAAGAATATATGAAAGTTATGCACCCTTGAGTGTTTTATATAGAGACAGTGGTCTTAGTTTAACCAGAAACTGTTCTTGTAATATACCGTAAAATACAATGCAAAAACATAAAAGAATACATAAAAGCAAGCAAGGAAAAAACATTTTATTTCATTAAATGCAGTTTTTTTCGGTTTTGATATAATACATATGACAGTGAAGATGCATATGAGACCATTACAGTTTTATGTTCACTCTGGCCTTTGTTAGTCTTGTATGTTTTTTAATTTTAGTTCATATATATGTTTTGGAGTTTAGTGTGATGTCTATTTTCACTGAACTTGCACACAATTTTATTTAGGGGCCAGCCGAGGACCACCTCCGGGTGCGGGATTTTCTCGCTGCATTAAAGACCCATTGGTGGCCTTCGGTTGTTGTTTGCTCTTTGGTTGGGTTGTTGTCTCTTTGACATATTCCCCATTTCCATTCTCAATTTTATAAGCAGGTGCAAAAAATATATGCACAGTTATGGTTCCTTCTTTGAGTCAAATGTGTGGACTTGTATTGAAAGACCACCTATATTGTAATACATTTTTAGTCTTTTCCCTTGAGTAGTCTCTTAATACAGGTAACTTGCTAATTATTTTGATTTTGATTTTCACATGCAACATCTCTTTTTATTCTTTTTGATTCATTTACTTATTAATTGGGTTGTTATTCTTTGTTTTCAGCAGTAAAATGTCCGACAGTGATGATACATGTAGTTCTCTGGATAATTCCTTCAATTTGGATTCAAGTGAAGATGAAGATCCAGAAAGGGATACCAGTACATTCTTTGCAGGTAACCAGTTTTAAATAAGAAAAAAAAAGAAAATGTGGTATCTGATACAAAAAATTTAACAATACTTTTAGATATTTGGATGATATATTGGCTCTCAATAACGACAACTTCAGTATGTATACTAAAGAAATTTATCCTGTTGAACTTACTTTAAATAAAGCTAATAATAGCAATGACCACTGTCCTTTCCTCGATCTTGATATCTATATCATTAACGGGAAGCTTAATACAAAAATTTATGACAAAAGAGATGATTTTTCATTTCCTATCGTTAATTATCCATTTTTAGATGGTGATGTTCCCTTGTCACCATCTTATGGTGTTTATATATCTCAACTTGTACGATTCGCTCGTGTATGTAACAACGTATTAGATTTTAGCGAGAGAAATTTATATATTACTGAAAAATTATTACACCAGGGTTTTCGATATCATAAACTAGTCAAAACATTTACTAAATTTTATCATTGGTATAAGGACATCATTCGCAAATATAACTCAACATGCAGACATCTTATACGTTCGGGTATTTCACATCCAATCTTTTATGGTAATATTCTTTACAAAGCACAAAAATGTCAGTATTCACCTCAAAAGCTAACAAAACCTTTAAACAGACTTATTAAGAAGGGATATAGTTACGATACTGTTGTCAGGTCATTAAAAATTGCATAATTTGGCTTTAATATTGATTCACTTATAGGGTCTTTGCATCGGAATTAAACATATTTATTCTAAAACCAGTTGTTGGCATGACACAGGTTATGTTCTTCTCATATATTTTATGACGGTATAATACTAAACCCCTAACAGGAGGGATTGTGCCTGATATTCATATGATGAAGGCATAATCTTTCAATCAGTTTAATTGAGGTCTGGAGCTGGCATGTCAGTAACTGCTAGTAGTCTGTTGTTATTTATGCATTATTGTCATTTTGTTTATTTTCTTTTGTTTCCTATTCTCACATCGGACTCGGACTTCTCTTAAACTGAGTTTTACTGTGCGTACTGTTGTACGTTTGATTTTTCTACATTGGCTAGAGGTATAGGGGGAGGGTTGAGATCTCAAAAAACATGTTTAACCCCGCCGCATTTTTGCGCCTGTCCCAAGTCAGGAGCCTCTGGCCTTTGTTAGTCTTGTATCATTTTTAATTTTAGTTTCTTGTGTATAATTTGGAGTTTAGTATGACGTCCATTATCACTGAACTAGTATACATATTTGTCTAGGGGCCAGCTGTAGGACGCCTCCGGGTGCGGGAGTTTCTCGCTGCATTGAAGACCCATTGGTGGCCTTCGGCTGTTGTCTGCTCTATGGTCGGGTTATTGTCTCTTTGACACATTCCCCATTTCCATTCTCAATTTTATGATCAGACAGGGGGCATAACTTAACACGTAGCTTTTCAAAATTACCTACCGGTATATAAGTATGTTTATTATACCTCACGCAACGAGTTGCGGAGGGTATAATGTTTTTGACCCGTCTGTCCGTCCATCTGTCTGTCCGTCCGTCCGTCCGTCAGTCTGTCAGTCTTGTTTCTTGTCATCGCAACTCCTCTCAAACCATACAACAGAATTTCACGAAACCTTTTTAGATAATAAGGACATACTATGTAGTTGTGCATATCGACAGGAAGTTACGCCCCTTTGAACTTATTTACTTTAATGTACTACTGCAACAGTTTGTCACCGCAACTCCTCTCAAACCACACAATAGAATTTCATGAAACCTTTTCAGATAATAAGGACATACTACGTAGATGTGCATATCGACAGGAAATTACGATTCAATTTTTTTTCTAGGAGTTACGCCCCTTTGAACTTATTTGCTTCAATTAACCTCTGCAACAGTTTGTCATCGCAACTCCTCTGAAACCACACAACAGAATTTCATGAAACTGTGTAGATAATAAGGACATACTATGTAGATTTGCATATTGACAAGAAATTATACAATTTTTTTTTCTTACAGTTATTTTATTTCTCCAGTGACAATGTGGGGACGTGGGGTATGTGAGCGTGCTCACTAAGGTTCTTTAATTTGCCCAATATACTACTGCAACCTTTTGCCATCCCAACTCCTCTCAAACCACACAACAGAATTTCATGAAACCTTTTCAGATAATAAGGACATACTACGTAGATGTGCATATCGACAGGAAATTACGATTCAATTTTTTTCCAGGAGTTACGCCCCTTTGAACTTATTTGCCCAATATACTACTGCAACCTTTTGTCATCGCAACTCCTCACAAACCACACAACAGAATTTCATGAAACTGTGTAGATAATAAGGACATACTATGTAGATTTGCATATTGACAAGAAATTATGATTCAATTTTTTTTTCTGATACAATTTTTTTTTCTTACACTTATTTTATTTCTCCAATGACAATGTGGTGACGTGGGGTATGTGAGCACGCTCACTAAGGTTCTTTCATTTAAAATAATTCACTTTTAAATATTACTTATGTAAGATACCTTTGAAAATATTTGTTTACAGAGGTGTCCATTCATACAGGTTTTAATGTTTTTATGTCCCACCTAATATAGTAGAGGGGCATTATGTTTTTCGCTCTGTTCGTCCGTCCGTCCGTCTGTCATGGTAGTTTTTGATGAAGTTGAAGTCCAATCAACTTTATCAGTTTTAATTATCTCTTTCAATTTTATGTAGTAAAATAATGTAAATGTTCATAAAATCTTCATGCAGTCCATGCTTCTATTGAAATTTAAAGTAACTATATTGACATATATGAGGTATATATAAAATAAAAAGTAATGACTTGTTTAACCGGTATCCCTGGCTGATAATTGCCAATGAGATTACTTATATAACAGTTAAAAACAACAGAAAACTATACACAATAACAAAATAAATAAGATGTGGTATGAGTGCCAATTAGACAACTCTCCATCCAAGTCACAATGTATAAAAAGGTTAACAATTATAGGTCATAGTAGGGCCTTCAACAAGGAGCCTTGGTTCACACCAAACAGCAAGCTATAAAGGGCCCTAAAATGACTAGTTTAAAACAATTCAAACAGGAAACCAACGGTCTAATCTATATAAAATACGAGAAACACCTATGAACCACGCCAACAAACGACATATCACATAATATACCATGGTCAGAATGCTTGCATATAAACATTTAGATTCACTTTTCTTGAATAAGAGATAAAAAGTTTTAAGTGAATATTGTTTGTGATAATTTTTAACAATTTAATTCTATTTATAGGTACTGTCAAAGTATCAATAACAGTCGGCAGAACAACAATATCAGTTGTTGAGGGGGATGTCTCTAATCAACAGGCAAGAAATATTTAAAAATATATTATGGATCTTAAGGATGTTCTCTCCTCCATTTCAAAATGACTTACAAATCAAGAGCAAGTAAATAATGGAACTTAAATAACAGAAAAAAATGACATTTCCATGTCCTTGTTTTTGGGATATGATCAATTGAAAATTTGGCGGGAAATGATTCCCTCTAGATTTTTCATACATTGAACATAGGCACCCTTTTCTTTAAAAAAACACTGAAAAAATAACAAGCATTTTGAAGGATTTTCAAAAATGGCTTTTAAACTATATATGTTAAAAAATTATGAACTAAAAGTAGGGTTAGCAGGTAAACAAGAGGATTCCAATAATTTGACAAAAAGTGAAAAACAATAGCAGCAAACATCCTTAACAGATGGTAAATTTTTCATTGTGTATGTCAGATGCTCCTGGATTGTTTTACTTTCATCGGATATCCTCAAAGCCAAAAGTTATTGAAATCCAAATGTACAAAAAAGGTTACCATGGTGGCTCTAATCTTATTTCTATATGAATTTTACAGAGATAACCTTGTGACTTATAATAACAAGATTTGTTTGCACAACTTAGAAAAGTAGAGGAGCATCAAGTTTTCTGGTCTGTCTATCCATCTGTCTTTTTGTCTGTCTGTTAGTATTAGCTGGTTCAAGTTTTTTAAATGTAGTCACATTGACTTAAAACTAATAAAATTGAGAATGGAAATGGGGAATGTGTCAAAGAGACAACAACCCGACCATAGAACAGACAACAGCAGAAGGTCACCAACAGGTCTTCAATGCAGCGAGAAATTCCCGCACCCTGAGGCGTCCTTCAGCTGGCCCCTAAACAAATATATATACTAGTTCAGTGATAATGAACGCCATACTAAACTCCAAATTGTACACAAGAAACTAAAATTAAAAATAATACAAGACTAACAAAGGCTAGAGGCTCCTGACTTGGGACAGGCGCAAAAATGCGGCGGGGTTGAACATGTTTATGAGATCTCAACCCTCCCCCTATACCTCTAGCCAATGTAGAAAAGTAAACGCATAACAATACGCACATTAAAATTCAGTTCAAGAGAAGTCCGAGTCTGATGTCAGAAGATGTAACCAAAGAAAATAAACAAAATGACAATAATACATAAATAACAACAGACTACTAGCAGTTAACTGACATGCCAGCTCCAGACTTTAATTAAACTGATTGAAAGATTATGTCTTCATCATATGAATATCAGGCACAATCCTTCCCGTTAGGGGTTTAGTATCATACCATCATAACATATATGAGAAGAACATAACCTGTGTCATGCCAACAACTGGTTTTTATACGACCGCAAAAAAATTTTTGTGGTCGTATATTGGTATGACGTTGGCGTCGTCGTCGTCGTCTGGCGTCGTCCGGCGTCGTCCGAAGACACATTGGTTTTCGCACTCTAACTTTAGTTTAAGTGAATGGATCTCTATGAAATTTTACCACAAGGTTCAATACCACAAAAGGAAGGTTGGGATTGATTTTGGGGGTTATGGTACCAACAGTAAAGGAATTAGGGGCCAAAAAGGGGCCAAAAATAAGCATTTTTGTAACTTCCAGACATAACTTGTGTGTTAGTGTATGGATCTCTCTGACATTGTACCACAAGGTTCCATATCACAAAAGGAATTATGGGATTGATTTTGGGGGTAATTGCCTTAAAATATTAGGAATTAGGGGCCAAAAAAGGGGCAAAAAAACAAGCATTTTTCTAGTTTCATGACAATAACTTGTGTGTAAGTGTATGGATCTTTCTGAAATTGTACTACAAGGTTCCATATCACAAAGGAAAAGCTGGAATTGAGTTTGGGGGTAATTGCTGAAACGTTTAGGAATTGGGGGCCAAAAAGGGGCCAAAAATAAGCATTTTTCTAGTTTCCAGACAATAACTTGTGTTCAAGTGTATGGATCTCTCTGAAATTGTACTGCAAGGTACCATACTACAAAGGGAAGGCTGGGATTGATGATGGGGGTAATTGCCTCAATATTTTAGGAATTAGGGGCCAAAAAGGGGCAAAAAACAAGCATTTTTCTATTTTCAGGACAATAACTTGTGTGTAAGTATATGGATCTTTCTGATATTGTACTACAAGGTTCCATATCACAAAGGGAAAGCTGGGTTTGAGTTTGGGGGTAATTGCCCTAATCGTTTAGGAATTTGGGGCCAAAAAGGGGCCAAAAAACACATTTTTCTAGTTTCCAGACAATAACTTGTGTTCAAGTGTATGGATCTCTCTGAAATTGTACTGCAAGGTACCATACCACAAAGGGAAGGCTGGGATTGAGTTTGGGGGTGATGAATCATAAGGGGGTTCAAAAAATTTGGGGGGGGGATTTTTTTTTTTTTTTCCTTTTTTTTCTTTTCTTCCTTTTTTTTTTCTTTTAAAATTTTCCATTTTAAGTTAGTTATTTCTGATTTATATTTAAAAGCAAATAATAATGATATGGTAGGAGATACACACCAAACAGGATGTGTAAATTATTATATAATAAGTATTGTGCAATAGCAAGAAATTTTCAATTGCACAGTATTGCACAATAGCAAGAAATCTTCAATTGCACAGTATTGCGCAATAGCAAGAAATCTTCAATTGCACAGTATTGCGCAATAGCAAGAAATATCCAATAGCACAATATTGCGCAATAGCAAGAAATTGTCAATTGTACAGTATTGGGCAATAGCAAGAAATATTTAATTGCACAGTATTGTGCAAAAGAAGATACTTCGTATAAATTGCTTATTTCTTGACCAATTTCAATGGGGTTTTATTCTTGAATTCTTGGGGTTCTTTAATATGCTGAATCTAACCGTGTATTTAGTTTTTGGATTTTTGGCCCCCGTTTTTAAATTGGTCCACATTGAGGTCCAAAGGGTCCAAAATTAAACTTTGTTTGATTTCATCAAAAATTGAATTATTGGGGTTCTTTGATATGCAGAATCTAACCGTGTATTTAGATTCTTAATTTTTGGTTCCGTTTTCAAATTGGTCTACATTAAGGTCCAAAGGGTCCAAAATTAAACTTAGTTTGATTTTAACAGAAATTGAATTCTTAGGGTTCTTTGATATGCTGAATCTAAACATGTATTTAGATTTTTGATTATGGGCCCAGTTTTCAAGTTGGTCCAAATCGGGGTCCAAAATTAAACTTTGTTTGATTTCTACAAAAATTGAATATATGGGGTTCTTTGATATGCTGAATCTAACCATGTATTTAGATTTTTGATTTTTGGGCCCCGTTATCAACTTTGTCCACATTGAGATCAAAAGGGTCCAAAATTAAACTTTGTTTGATTTCATCAAAAATTGAATTCTTGGGGTTCTTTGATATGCTGAATCTAACCATGTATTTAGATTTTGGATATTGGACCATAATAGGTGAATGTCCAATTTAAAATTTTTAAGTTCTTAGACCACATTCATTCTGTGTCAGAAACCTATGCTGTGTCAAATATTTAATCACAATCCAAATGCAAAGCTGTATCAAGCTTGAATGTTGTGTCCATACTTGCCCCAACTGTTCAGGGTTCGACCTCTGCGGTCGTATCAAGCTGCGCCCTGCGGAGCATTTTATTAAATAAATGTGTTTAGTGCCAATGCAAAGACCCTATAAGTGAATCAATATTAACGCCAAAATATGCAATCTTTAATGACCTGACAACAGTATCGTAACTATATCCCTTCTTAATAAGTATATTTAAAGGTTTTGTTAGCTTCAGAGGTGAATACTGACATTTTTGTGCTTTATAAAGAATATTTCCATAAAAAATTGGATGTGAAATACCTGAACGTATAAGAAGTCTGCATGTTGAGCTATATTTACGAATGATGTCCTTATACCGATGATAAAATTTAGTAAATGTTTTGACTAGTTTGTGATATCGAAAACCCTGGTGTAATAATTTTTCAGTAATACATAAATTTCTCTCGTTAAAATCTAAAACATTGTTACATACACGAGCTAATCGTACAAGTTGAGATATATAAACACCGTAAGATGGTGACAAGGGAACGTCACCATCTAAAAATGGATAATTAACGATAGGAAATGAAAAATGAAACTAATGTTCATTATGAATTAAACCCTTTAAATGTAATGATGAATAACAGGTTTGACCCAAAAAACATCGTTCACTGAACATAGAAATGTGATAGTGGGAAACTAGTACATGTTAGGTTATAAATTTTATGACTCATTAAAATTTCAGACTACAGGGTTTCTTAGTGGTGCATGAACTAATTACCCTTCAAGAACACTTGAGTTCACCTTCCCAGACTAAGCTAGCTAAATTTCTTGACTTTGTGCAATTGATAATAAACCCTTGGCATTTTGTAAGGCAGTTTTCTATTGTTGAAGACCCTATGTTGGCTGCTAGATGACATTGTTTTTTGTGTCACTGGTTTGCTGTCTTATATGTAGTTGTATACCTCACACCAATTTGAATTCATGTTTACATGTTTACTGAAACAGTTTAAGTTTCTTATGTGTCAAGTAATCACATGTTGAAACATTGAACTTTTTGAATTTCAGGTTGATGTTATTCTGAACAGCACATCAAAGAAGTTAGACTTGAATGCTGGTAAAGCTTCTAAAGCACTACTAACAGCTGCCGGTAACAGTTTACAGACAGAGTGCAAGGAGAAATATCCAAATGGGATACAGGCTGGTGAAGTCGCCATAACAGGGGGAGGTAATCTGAAATGTCAGAATGTCTTCCATACATCTTTATTGAAATGGAGTGAAACAAATTCAAAACAGGTATGTATATGGATAGGGGAAATGTAGAGTATGCTCCAATTAGATGGCAATCCAACAATAGATATATACAGACAGATTTCAAGCTATGGTTGTCCTACAGTGTATCTACAATTTTTCAAGCTCTAAAATGTCCCAAATCCATAAAAGTTCTTAGTAAATTTTTCAGAACTTATCAAATATGTGTCATGGATACCATGTTCTGTGACAAGAAAACATTTTAAAAGTAGTAACAAAAGATAATCAGTATACTTTTTTGAAATTTGCACTCTGTAAATAAAAAATATAGATTTTTTATTAACAAAATGTTTTAAATTGGGAAATGGCAAAACATGGACCTAAACAGGAAAATGAAAGACTTGAATTATATATATATATATATATATCTTTTCCACAAGTTTATTGTTTTCTGTTTGGTATTAAATTAATATTAAGATCCATTTTGTACTGGTGATCAATTTATTTGGCAATCGCCAATGGCAGTCAGCCATCCGTTGTTCGACCTGTTAGTCAAATGCGTTTTATTAAAATATACTTTTTCACTATTTTGGTCTTTTGGAAAATGTTGTTTGTGCTGTATTTAGACCCCTCTACCTAGAAATTTGTTTTACATGCACACGTATAAAAATTGCGGTTTTTATCCAATGCAATCATAGGTTTGAACGTTGTTTTCAATTTAGACTTGTTTATATTTTTCCGTTTGGGCTTGTATTATATTTTCCTTCGGGTTTATATGATCCGTTCATCCTATTTTGACTCTTTAAAATTCAAGAGTCTATCCTAAATTGAGGTAAATTATATGGCCTTCCAAATACCGTTTCGATCCCTAACATCACTGAAGAGACATTAATTGTCGAAATCCGGATATGGTGTATAAAAATTTGTGCACCTCATGTTTGTGCTAAACCATCTTTTCCACAAGTTTATTGTTTTCTGTTTGGTATTAAATTAATATTTAGATCCATTTTGTACTGGTGATCAATTTATTTGGCAATCGCCAATGGCAGTCAGCAGGGTTTAAGAACATCCGTTGTTCGACCTGTTAGTCAAATGCGTTTTGTTAAAATATACTTTTTCACTACTTTGGTCTTTTGGAAAATGTTGTTTGTGCTGTATTTAGACCCCCTCTACCTAGAAATTTGTTTTACATGCACACATATAAAAATTGCGGTTTTTATCCAACGCAATCATAGGTTTGAACGTTGTTTTCAATTTAGACTTGTAAAGATATAGACCTAAAGAATTTTTTCAAAGCAGGGAAAACCAATTTGGGGCTTATCAAACCAATAATGAAAGGGTTCTCCAATTTAATGAATCAAAGCAGTGATTTCAAATTAGATAAGTCACTACTTAGTGACTGTGTAATAAAAAATAATCATAGCGGCCTGTAAAGGGAGATAATTTTATAAAAACAAAAGTAACAAAGTTAAAACATTCTTAACAAGAATTTATTCTGGTAATCAGAGATTTTAAAGTAGAAAATCAACTAGTATTTATATTTTCTTCATAACGAATAAGTTGTACGATTGCCAATGAGATAATTTTGCACTAAATATAAAAAGTGACAAATTGCAGTCTCTAAAATACTATGTCTCAGCTGTTCTTATTCTTTTCACATATGGTTACAAGAGCGCAATTATTTGTTTACATTTTACTGACAAGTTTTTTACCCCAAGATGGTACTCAGCATAGAATCTTGTACGGCTTCTGATTGGATGATACAGTATTTGAATTACTTTTAATCGAAAGCTTATATCCAATTAGGTTTAAAAAATCCAGAAAAACAAATTCACATTGTACAAAGTATAGAAAATATATTCAATTTCTCCATGTCAGAGCCATTAAAAATCTGCCTTTTTCATTAAGCGAAAAAAAATAGACGATGTTTTTCAACTGCATTTTAAGTATATTTTTGCCACATGACCATATATGTTTTTTTGGTTGTTATGCAACACTGGCATGTCTTTTAACAGGAACTGCTCCCCGTTTTTTTCCTAGTTAGTGAAGTCTTCGAGAAATAAAATATGGAACACCACTGGTACCCTATTGAACATGCATTATGAATAATTGCACTCTTGTAACCATATATATGGTCCATGCTAAATAATGTAAAAATAGAAGTTAGAGTTATTCCCCCTACAACATGTTACATACATAATCACACATATTGAACAATTTCAGGTCCACAAATCATTTATACAGAAAAGCCTATCAGAAATGGACAGTAGAGGTTTGACATCAATGGCTTTTCCCGGATTGACCACTGGTTACCTCAGGTTCCCCAAGCGAGCGGCAGCTAAATCTAAATGTATTAACATCCAAGAATACTTTGAGAACCACACGGATACTTCTATAACTGACATCAGATTTGTCATTCACTCTTCTGACCAAAGGACATTAAATGTATGTTTTTCTTCCCCTGCTTTAAAAAAGTGGGGGTATACTGTTTTATCTCTGTCTGTCTGTCCATCCATCCATCCATCCATCCATCCATCCATCCATCCATCAGTCCATCCATCAGTCAGTCCATCCGTCCCATGAATATTTTTCGTCGCATCTTTCTCAGGAACTGCATCATAAGGATTTCTGAAATTGGGTTTCAGGGTTTATATAAGTTAGCTTTACCGTGTGATGCATTTTCAGATTCATCACTCAACAACTTCCTGTTTACCGAACACTTGTATAATTTTACACATGATAGCCTAGTTGAAAATTTTCGTCACATTTTTCTCAGGAACTACAATACAAGGATTTCTGAAATTTGGTTTCAGGGTTTATATAAAGCTGCTATACTATGTGATGCGTTTTCAGATTCATCACTCAACAAATTCCTGGGTGGGCGGGGGTATCATCAGTGAGCAGTAGCTTGCAGTTTCATTTGTTATTTATTCTTTCAGCTCACCTATAACTTGTGTGCAATTGCCTTCAATTAACATTCTTTTTCATTGTAAACTGTATCATCTTCAAAGAAACACTTTGATAAATTTCATCAATCTTCCTCAATATGATGACTGTTATGAACATTTAGTGTTGTTAATGTTAGGTATTAACTTTGAAACAATAGTTAAAAACTGTTGGTAACAAAATTGTACAAATTATTTTCATTGGTCTTTAAAAGTTTTGCATGCCTGCTTAATTGAGACCTTCAATCATGAAATGTTGACTTCGGATATTATCTCACATACTGTGAAAGTACTTTAATTCGTGGTTATCAATTTTCGTGGTTAGAGCAAAAGTTACATGTTCGGGGATTTTTATTTTCGTGGAGTTTAGTTTTCTAAAAGAAAAACAAATAGTGTGTAGAATTGAAGCCATTAGAAACGAATATTACAAATTGTCTCGATTGAAGGAAATTGCAAAGTAAACATTTAAATTGTTGCACCCGTGTAGTGATGACACTCATTAACCTGAGATCGAGTGATCAACAGATTAAAGACCATCAAAGGTGTTAATTAGGCCATAAACATGTCACTTAAAGAAAACAGTTACATAAACAAATGCTACAAATATACATTGAATTGTAAGATTAATTCTTATCAAAAGCAAGCCCAGCATGAAATTGTTATTTCCCGTACAAGAATTATGAGGATATAAAATGAACACTTTATCATAGCATATCATCACTGGAAATCTGACTTTCATCGATCAAAAATATTTTTTATGAGAATTAAAAGATCAGAAGTTGTACAGTTTAGGTTTTTAAAGATTAAATGGGTATAATCCTGCCTGCAGTTGTAGTTAATAGTGCATTTGCACTGAGACTACTGTTATAGTATTCTCAGACTTGCCGATATTCAATGTATTCTGTAGATCATATCAGTAGTCAAACCTACATGGGAATCTTTTCATTTCTTGATTTGGACAACAGTTGTTATATTTCATTGGACACTTAAATTCGTGGATAAAGCCATCCACGAAAACCACGAAAATTGGTTCCCCATGAATAAAAGTACTTTCACAGTACATAATATACAAGTATTCCATACCTGTCTGTTGATAACTGGAGGGTAAAAAAATAAATTATTGTACTGGCTTAAAGTGATTATCAGATATTTCCGTACTTTCCAGGCTTTCATTGCTGAAGTAAAGAGATGGAGATCTTTTATCAATCAATGTAAGTAAATTATATAGCTAAATAAAAAAAGGAAACTGTTATTAAAGGTAGAGTTTTTCTTTACTTTTTGTTATATCCTAGTTTTTACATGATTTTTCTCATGTATACTTTTACTTATATCATTCTTTACCGGAATGAAAAAAGTATATAAATCAACCAGGAACCAGCTTACGCATTACAATGTAAAGAATGGAACTGTTTTAGTTTCACAGTCGTATTCTAGAAGTAAGTATGAGGTACGGATTTTCCGCACACTCTCACCGTAAATAATTTTAATTTATACATGCTATACGAACTTCCCATTAATATGAAAAACAACTTTCTCAATTGTTTATTCGGGATTTTAACTTGTGTTAACACTCCTGGGGTGGTCTAAAATCATTTAAAAGTATTCTCAACTTCTACTTTATGATTGAATATAAGTTTTCCGTGAAATTACCACAAACAATTAAACACCGTTTGAAATTATGAGAGTTTCATTAGAAGTTTTTCAAGCAGTTACAAAAAGTTTTTTCATGAATTCACGTGGCAAGAAGTGGGTTGCGGACAATGCACCAGTGCGGACTTTACAAGGCTTATTACTGTAGCAACTGTAGGTCACCATACAGCCTTTAACAATAAGCCAAATCCATATTGCATTGCAAGATATAAAAGACAACAAAATGACTTCTTGATTTTTGAATATAGCAATTAATAAACGAAAAACTAATATGATTGATATACATCAACAAATGACTACCACTGAGTTACAGGCTACCGACTTAGGACAGGCACATACAAAATATTTTATTAAAAGAGGGAATACAGTACTGTAAATTTAGAAATTATTGCGATGTTTTTATTATTGCAAAAAATGCGACAGGGTTATAATCGCAATAATTTAAACTCGCATTTTGAAAATTTTTATATGAATTAAACAGGATTTTTCTCAATATTGCAAAAATTAAAATCGCATTTTTGTCTAAAATGACAAAATCACAATAATAAATGCACGCAATAATTTCTGAATTTACAGTATTTTGATATATTGTTATTAAGCAAAACTGCACTCCCGATTTTAGGACACATTTTAAATTATGTTCGCTCTTCACAATGACTTTCTTCAAATATAATTAAAATTCTCATTGGGGTATGCCCCACACTTCTTTTATTCATATTAAACATCAAAACTTCCTAAGAGTAGTAATTTCTTTTTAATTTGGATTTTAGCTGTCCAGTGCAGAGATGTATTTACTACTCAGATAGGAAACACAAGTGTCAAGGTCAAAATAGACAAAATGCAAGAACAAGATGTGAGTATACACACAGAAGATATTAACAAGCAAAATATGACTAGCCAAAAAAAAAAACTGAGTCATAACAACTTAATTAAATGCATGATTTATGCTACTGAGAACCATTTCTTTCCTTGTTGATAATTTTTTTTCTTCTTTTTTTTTGAAAGAGTAGACACCTATGTAGTTGTCTTTTTTAAATTAAGAAACCATTTTCTTAGATTTGCTATGCATTAATGGTAAACTCTGATTGAAACAGTTAAATTTACATTTCATACCCACAAAATTTAAACTACAATAGTACTAGTTTATATTGAAATAAAGAAAAAAAAACGAACTTCTTGAATCACATGATTTGAAGATTGATTGATTGGTTTTGTTTGAATGCCACTTTTAACACTAAAGGCTGTTTCATTGCAGCCAGTTTTTTTTGTTGGAGGAAAGTGGAGTGCCCAGGAAAGAACCAACCTTTGGATTTGAAGAAAAAAATTATATCCTATTAAAAAGTAGTACAATTTTTTATGCCATATAATCCTTTCATCTACAAATTAAAAGACCCATTGAGGCCATACATGCCTTTCATCTACTAATTGAAAGACTCGTCAGTGACGCACGAATGAAAAAAGTTAAAAGGCAAAAAAAGGTACAAGGTTGAAGAGCATTTAGGACCCAAAATTCTGAAAGATTTTGACAAATACAATTAAGGTAAAAAATGGTTTGTAGAAATGATGCACCATGCAGTTTCAGACATTAAAAACTTTGCATCTATGATACAAGATGTAAATTAATATATTGAGTTCTATGATCAAAGGGCAATAACTCTAAGAAGAACTGAGATTTTCAGAAGTTCACATTTTGTTTTACAGGTTGATGTGATTGTGAACAGTGTCAATTCTCAGCTGAAGTTGGATAAAGGTTCCCTGTCTCACACACTGGTTTCTGTTGGTGGCAATTCCTTACAGACAGAATGCACAAACAAATATCCTAATGGTGTACAAGTTGGACAAGTTGCAGTGACATCTGGCGGCAATTTAAAGTGTAAACAAGTCTACCATAGCTGTATAGGGGATTTTAAAAATCAGGACAAGTCTGAATCAAAAAAGGTAAAAATAAGGACAAGACGAAATCCCAAAACATTGAAATAGGCTTACTATATAAAATGGATTTTCAGATGCAGATCCGGGATTTGAAAAAGATATGTAGCTCCATAAAGGTTTGGTGGGGGGGGGGGGGGGGGGGTCGGGAGAGGGACTAGACTGCCTCTGATATTAGGAACAGAAAACTAGAAAAAGTAAAAGACTATTGATAAGATGTAACTGTAAAATATTTCTTTTAAATCTGTCCAATAGCACTTCCATAATAAAAAACAAATAATACTGGGTATCCATCCATGACACAAAATCAGTACATATACAGCATAAGCATTATAAGAAAAATCTGTAAGAATGCTTTTTAGGTTTAATATAAGTTAATTTATTTTCAGTCTATTCAAGAAATGGTGAAGACCTGTTTAGACACAGCACACACTAACAGTATGACTTCCATTGCGTTTCCATGCCTAGGTACAAGATACAGACATTACCCAGCCAAGCTGTCTGCCGAGGCAATGTTTGATGGTATACGAGACTTCACAGCTAACAACATGTCATCATCTGTATCATCTGTTATCATTGTAGTGTACGGTTCTAACTGTGAAAATATTGCAAAGGTATTTCTTCTACATTGTGACTTGATTTAGCCAAGCTTTAATTCTATGTATTTATACCCTGCTCTAAATGGGGGTGGGGGGGTATAGGTTGATCTACCTTTTCTCTCACTTTGCATCTGTTGTCGTCGTTGTCGTTTGCTGACTTTTACCAGAATTTACTCAACTGAAACGTTTTGGGCAATGTTAACCATACTTGGCCATAATCATTATTCTAATGCAATTATTTTGTATCAATGGTTCTGATTGGATGACAGTAAGCGTAAAATTCTCTATCTCCTTGTCTGTAACTAAGGAAGCCGACATTTTGAATTGCGGAATGTATTGACATGTAATTTCTACAATAATAAGCAAACAACTCACATGTTGAACCTAGAAATCTTCTTTTTATCAAATTTTATTACATTCTGAAGCGGTCAAGAAGCCAGAAAACGCCCGGTGTTTACGTTTGACGCCGGAAGCATACCTATGACGTCACCTAGTTTAGGGGCCAAAGAAGATAACATCTTTTCGCGGAATTTTCTTAAATGAAAAGTTACACTGAAATAATGATTGAAAATGAATTATGTACTTGTTTTGCATTAGAATAGAGATAACTGTATTGTATTTGAAGCTTTGCGGATGTCCATCGGAAGTTTTACTGTCGCAAATACCCGTTAACCTGTCTCGGCTACGCGTCGTCAGGTAAACTAAATTTGCGACAGTAAAACTACTGATGGATGTCCGCAAAGCTTCAAATACAATACAGTTATCTCTTAATTGTAGTATCTAGGTTAAAAAATGTGTCTGATGACCCCTCCTGCCAACCATCATGGCTGATATGGCTAAAAATAGAACATAGAATGCAAGTTTTGTCTTTTATCTTGAAAATAGCTATAAGTACAGAAAATTTTACGGGCAGAAATGTTCATAATGAGTTCTACCTACCGTTTTCATGTCCAAAGTGTCAAATGACTACTTAAAGGAGTTATTGACCTTAAATGATGAATTTTACCAATTTTTTGTCTCCCTGCAACCAAATTTGCAAAATGCGAGACAAAGATATTAAAATCTGGCCGCGTCTGCGACTGCATTAACTATATGTTTTTTTATTGTACTTTGACCTCATTTCATTGATCAGTGATAAGGGTAAAGTTATGTGATCAAGTCTGTATCTTAGATACTATAAGCAGTTGGTCAACTATATTTGGTGTATGGAATGATTGTAAGGTGTACATGTCTGACTGGCAGGTTTTATCTGACCTTGACCTCAATTTCATTGTTCATTGGACAATGATTACTTTTTGTGGTTTGGTCTATTTCTCAGATACAAATGTACTATAAGCAATAAAGCCACTTTATTTGGTATATGGAATGATTGTAAGATGTACATGCCCGACTGGTAGGTTTCATCTGACCTTGATCTAATTTTCATGGTTCATTGGACAATGTTCAGTTTTTGTGGTTTTGTTTATTTCTCAGATACTTTAAGCAATATGTCAAGTATATTTGGTGTATGGAATTATCGTAAGGTGTACATGTCTGTCCGTCAGGTTTCATATGATCTTGGCTTCATTTTCACGGTCATTGGTCAAAGATAGGTTTTTGTTGTAATATCAGTTTATCAGTAACTATAAATAATCAGGCTGCTACATTTGGTGTATGGAATAATTGTAAGGTGTACATGTCTGTCTGGCAGGGTTCATATAAGCTTGACCTCATTTTAATTGTTAATTGGTCAATGTTAAGATTTAGTGGTTTGATCTGTTTCTCATGTACTATTAGCAATAGGACCACTATATTTGGTGTATGGACTGATTATGATGATTGTTAGGTGTACATGTCTGTCATGCATTGTTCAGCTGACTGTGACTTCATTTTCATTTTCATGGATCATTGATAATGTTAAGCTTATGTGATACTCATATAGTAAAACCTTCATATTACAGACTTTCACCATGCATTCAATCATAAGTAAAACAGGAGAGACATTTCAGCATGTGCACTCTTATTTCCCTATTGCTTATTATTTTTTAAACTATAAAACGTAGATACAGAGAACCTTTAATAGCAAAATTGAACAACAAGACAAGATCTACAAATAAGTCAACATGGCTAAAATTGTCAGAAGACTTCATTGTAGTTATTGCCCTTTGATGACCATTTTTGTCGAGCCTGCGACTTTTGTCGCAGAAAGCTCGACATAGGGATAGTGATCTGGCGGCGGCGGCGTTAGCTAACTTCCTAAAAGCTTTATATTTTAGAAGGTGGAAGACCTGGATGCTTCATACTTTGTATATGGATGCCTCATGTTACGAAGTTTCTGTCAGTCCAATGTCCTTGACCTCATTTTCATGGTTCAGTGACTACTTGAAAAAAAAGTTTAGATTTTTTGTAATGTTAAATTCTCTCTTATTATAAGTAATAGGATAACTATATTTGGTATGTGCGTACCTTGCAAGGTCCAGACTGGCCCTCATGCCTGTCAGACAGTTTTCACTTTACCTTGACCTCATTTCATGGATCAGTGAACAAGGTTAAGTTTTGGTGGTCAAGTCCATATCTCAGATACTATAAGCAATAGGTCTTGTATATTCGGTGTATGGAAGGACTATAAGGTGTACATGTCCAACTGGCAGGTGTCATCTGACCTTGACCTCATTTTCATGGTTCAGTGGTTATAGTTAAGTTTTTGTGTTTTGGTCTGTTTTTCTTATGCTGTATGCAATAGGTCTACTATATTTGGTGTATGGAATGATTGTAAGGTGTACATGTCTAGCTGGCAGGTGTCATCTGACCTTGACCTCATTTTCATTGTTCAGTGGTCAAAGTTAAGTTTTTGAGTTTTGGTCTTTTTTTCTAATACTATATGCAATAGGTCAACTATTTTTGGTGTATGGAAATATTTTATGATCTATATGCAGTCGCACAGGTTTCATTTGACCTTGACCTCATTTTCACGGTTCATTGATCAGTGTTAAGTTCTTGTGTTTTGGTCTGTTTTTCTTACACTGTATGCAATAGGTCTACTATATTTGGTGTATGAAAGGATTGTAAGGTGTACATGTCTAGTTGGCAGGTGTCATCTGACCTTGACCTCATTTTCATGGTTTGGTGGTTTTACTTAAGTTTTTGTGTTTTAGTCTGTTTTTCTAATACTGTTTGCAATAGGTCTACTATATTTGGTGTATGGAATGATTGTAAGGTGTACATGTCTAGCTGGCAGGTGTCATCTGACCGTGACCTGATTTTCACAGTTCATTGCTCAGTGTAAATTTTTTTGTGTCTTGTTCCATTTTTATTCTTATACTGTTTTTGATAAGTGAACTATATTTGATGTATGGAATGTTTATGAGGTGTTTATGTCTGTCTGCCAGATATCATATGACCTTGACCTGATTTACATGGCTCATTGGTCAATGTTAAGTTTTCCTGCTGAACTTTGTCTTGGTTAAGTCTGTTTCTTAGAAACTATAAGCAATAGGTCAACTATATTTAGTGTATTGAATGATTGTAAGGTGTACATGTATTTCTCCTTCGGTTTATATGACCTTGACCTCATTTTCTTGGATCATGTTAAGTTTATGTGATAGTTGTAGTAAAGCTTTATATTTAGGACTATCAACATAATATCAATGGTTAGTAAAGAAGGCGAGACATTTCAGCATGTGCGCTCTTGTTACCATTTTTCCCTAATATTTTAAAAACCATAATGAATAGATAGAAACTTTAATAAGCAAAATGGTCAGCAAGATATGTTCTACAAATAAGTTTAATGACTGAAATCTTTAGTCAACTCTTTATTGGAGTTATTGCTTTTTAATGATGAAAATCATTTCACGCCAACTTTTCTATGGCTAATTATATATATCTCTAAAACATGCACACTGACTCTTCAATTTTTTCAGCTTTTTAAGTTCCTTTATTCATATACTTTCAATTCATAACAGTCTTTTAAAGAGCTTGTTATTTTGAAGCAGAGTAGCGAACATCCTTAAATAAGAATTTTTTTTATAATTCATTGTTACTTTTGTAGGCTTTTGAAGCAGAAGGAAATTCCAATGCTACAGGAGGCCAATCAGTTGTTAAGGGAACAAAGGAGTTCTGTTCAAAGATGTATCAAACAGAATTGTATCCCCCTAAATCTTGGACCCATTACAGTTCAGTAAAGTCAGCAAAGCAGTGGAAAAGTAGTAAACCTGAAGATGGGAAGTATTTTAAACTAATTGAAATTCAATCAACGGACAATGTTTACCAAGCCATTGAAAGTTTGGTTCAGGACACATGGGAAAGTGGGAAAGTAGGTCATGGTCGTGATGCAGCAGGTCTTGGAGGTCACACAAAACTTGTCGTGAAGAAAATAGAAAGACTTGAAAATATTGATTTGTGGGAATCATATGGCCATCTTAGGTCACAACTCTTTCACAAGGCATCTGACATTGACATATTTGATCCTCTTGAAAACTTGCCAAATTCAAAAGGACCAATCAAAACATCAGAAAATATTCAGTCCGTCCTAGAAAATGAAATTTACCCTGAAGTCAATGAGGTTTACCTATTTCATGGAACAAAAGCTGACAACTTCGATGCAGTGATGTCCAAAGGATTAGATTTCCGTATGGCAGGGGATAAAGCTATGTTTGGTACTGGAACTTACATGGCCGAAAGCTCTACTAAAGCTGACCAATACACAGGTAATATGCAATCTTACTTTAATGTATCTTCTCAAACCGTGAAGTTAGAAATCTTTTATTGAGGTAATTTTAATAATAAAAACCAAATTCATGCAACTCAGAACCCAAATATAAGTCCCAACCCATGTCACTTTCAATTGCGTCATTTACCATAATCAATAAATTGTTGTGGAATAAGTTATCTGTTTTTAAAGCACCCAAACAAATGGCTAGTCTGGGTCTTTATTGGAATTCTTTAATTTTTTTGCCCAATGCTCAATTTTTGTATCTCCAGTTCATAATATTTCCTTCCCAACCAAGATATGAGTTGGAATAGTGAAGTACCTTTAGTGGCCAAGTTAGACTCAAGCCATTTAGCCTATTGAATTATCTCCTTGAGGGTCTCGTGGTAGTATTGAAAAGTATGTTCTTGTGTAAAACCCAATATATTAAGGAGCTTGGTGGTGAAAAACCTAATTTGATCTTTGATGGAGGAGTGAACTGGAATTGATCCAAATTGAAAAAAATATTTCAATCAATTACATAAAAAATTATGGGTAAAAACCCCAAATTGTAAATCTTATCTGGAGCTTTGTAACATACATACTATCTTGTATTACAGATCCCAGGAACAATAGATCAGCAGATGAGAAGAAAATGATACTTGCCAGAGTTTGTTTAGGAAAGATCTGCCTACTACAGAAAGCCATGAGTAACCTTAAGAAACCTCCATGTTCTTCTTGCCAGCAGGTGGCTTGTGAGCATGGCAGTGGGCATGCATGTGATAGTGTTGTAGGTGATGGTGGCTGGATCTTCAGAGAGTTTATTGTTTACAATCAATTTCAAGCCTACCCAGAATATGTTATAACTTATATACGTCAGTAAAACTGTTTACCATTATTGATAATTTATGATATTTATAGGTTTGTTTAAAATTTTATTTAAAATTTTGTTCATAATTTTATTTATTATTTTTTTATAATTTTTTTCTTAATATTTTCTAAGATCAAACAAATCTTTAGGGATAATTTCATAGGGTGGTACTTAACACTGCAGGGAGATAACTCTGTAAAAATCAGATGAATGTTTTAATCATGTTTTATTGTTATGGAAATATTAAGCTTCTCAATGATCAAAATTAGTGTTTGTCAAACTGCTATATGTCCAATGAAATTTACCGATAAAGTGTGTGGTTCAAGTTTTTGAAATTTTTACATTTTTGTCAAAGGGTCAAAGTAAATTAATTTTAGTCAAGGTGTTTGGTACCACCTTAATCTTTGAAACTGAAGAAGGCTTAGTGGCCTGATGATGTTATCTGTTATTGATGAGTAATTTAAGACCCAAAATATATTTTTATGTATTTTTTTTATTCTTTATGTATATATTGTTGGTGAGTTAATAATTTAAGAGCAATCAAGTTAAATTTTGGGATTTTGACACAATTTTCATGCCTTACTATATGAAATCACACACATAATGTAAACCAACTTATTTTTTCGTGGATATTTTATTTCATGTTAAGCTTTTTCTAGATGACTTTGCATTGGTTTTTTTTTTTCGCAATTTCTAATTTTCTTCTTGTATTTATATAAGGAAAAATCCAAGTTTTACATGTTAGCATTACTTTTCTACTTGTAATAAATCGCTGTCATATATTAGTTGTTTTACAGTAATATATCTCCCTACAAAAAGCTCTAGGAGAAACATTTGAGGGATGATCCATTTGATTTTTATTCTTTTTGAGAGTCCACCCTGTGGACTGTTCCTTTAAAATTGTTTTGTCCATTCAGGTAACTCATTGCTGTGTCCTCTTGCTCACCTGTAAACGAGGGTCTGGATAGGGAGTTCTTCAATTCTGTATTCTGTAATTTTTAGGCAATTTTCTCTGTTCTGTCTAATTTTGCCCTTTATTCTCTATTCTTTATATTTCAGCAACCCATTTTTCTCCATTCTTTATTTTTTTGCCCATTATTCAGTAGTGTTTGTCCATTATTCTGTATTCTGTAAACCCCATCCAGAACCTCATATACATTATTCGCTTATTGTCCTGTCATTTGTATGTTTTCAAAGATTTTCTCTGAAATTTCCAGACCAGTTTACTCTTAAAAATTGTGCTGAATGATTCTTAAGAAATTTAGTTTAAAGTTTTTGTTTTTTGTTTCTGCCAGTCAACCAACATAGCCGATATGGCTAAATATAAAAATAAGGATAAAATACATTAATTGCCTGCTATCTTGACACCATAATAAATAGATGAAATCTGACAAAGCAGAACAACAAGATGAAATACATGATAATTAAGAGGTAACGCAGAGACAGGTAAACGGGTATTTGCGACAGTAAAACTACCGATGGACGTCCGCAAAGCTTTAAATACAATACAGTTATCTCTATTCTAATGCAAAATAAATACATAATTCAATTTCAATCATTATTTCAGTGTAAAATTTTCATTAAAGAAAAATCCGCGAAATGATGTTATCTTCTATGGCCCCTGAACTAGGTGACGTCATAGGTATGCTTCCGGCGTTAAACGTAAACACCAGGCGTTTTCTGGCTTCTTGGCCGCTTCAAAATATTATAAAATTTAATAAAAAGAACATTTCTAGGTGCAAAATGTGAGTTTTTTTGTTTATCATTGTAGAAAGTACATGTCAATACATTCCGGAATTCAAAATGTTGGCTTCCTTAGTTACAGACAAGGAGATAGAGAATTTTACGCTTACTGTCATCCAATCAGAACCATTGATACAAAATAATTGCATTAGAATATACAGTATTGCTTATAAAACTGAAACCATTAATGACTCCATTAAAGGGGTTATTCCTTGCAATAATGATTAATTTTTATCTTTAGATATTATCTTGAAAAAGAATAAACAAGCAAATTGAAATCTACAACTTATATCGTCGTTTTTTAAGCCCCAGCTACCATAGTATTACTCAAAGTAATTTACTTAAATATCAACAGCAATAACAGTCCTTTCCTAGATTTCGATATTTCAGATTTACAAGGAAAACTCTGTACAAAATTTGTGTTCCCTATTGTTAATTTTCTTGTGAATAGAAATGTCCCTTTGGCCCCATCGTATGGTGTTTATTTATCCCAACTCACTCACTTTGATTAAAAACAAAATTTTCTTAGCTGAGTCTTTTCACTTAAAATGGCACAAATTTATAGAAAATGGAACAACTTCTTTCAAAGTTAGAAGCCTTGAAAATTGTCAATTTTTCGGAGTTTTCATAGGCTAAATGTATCTTTTCAGTAAATCAGGTTAGGGCTATTCATCTTAAGGATTTGCTGCATTTTTCATAAATATGTGTCATTTCTTATACAAAATGTGATTTTGAAAAAAAGTTTTGTAACACTAGAAAAGTATCCCTCATTTGAGGGATAGTTACTCATTTGGGGAACTATTCCCCATATGGCAAGTTGTCTCCAACCTGCCGATGAGTAAAGCCTTTTTAACTGACTATATATATATATATATGGTTTGTTCTAATGTTGTGCTGTTGCCCTGCTGTCCAAGGTATTAGGAGGGTTGAGCACCTCTAAAGTGTTTTAACTTTTTGTATGTGCCTGTTCCAAGTCAGGAGCCTGTAATTCAGTGGTTGTGATTTGTTGCTGTATATCATTTATGTTTTTTGTTAATTGTTTTGTACATAAATTAGACCATTAGTTTTCATGTTTGAATTGTTTTACATTTGTTATTTTTAGGCCTTATGTATCGTGCTATGCAGTGTGGGTTTTGCTCATTGTTGAAGCTAGTTAAGGCTGTACAGTGACCTATAGTGTCTAATATCAAGTCAATTTGGTCTCTTATGGAAATTTGTCTCATTGTTAATCATACCACATCTTCATATTTTTATATTATGATTTTTAGTCTGCTTCTAGATCTGTGTATCCTGTTCCAGCTTTTAGTTTTGGTTTGAGCTATTTACAATATGGTTGTGGTTATATCAAATTTAAAGTTAGTACACAAGTTCATAAGGATGTGAATTTTTAAATTATATTTTATTATATAACAAATTAAAGTATTTACCAATGTTTTCATGGTTTACTGAACAAGGAAATGTAATCATGGTTATAATATGAAATAGTTTCATCAGAGTTCTCAAAATCCCTGGTGGTCCTTGAAGAAAATCTGCTGGTCCTCACTACTTTTCTTTTGCTAAATACCAAATTTATGTTTGTACTTTGGAAAATGTTGATGGTCAGGACCCTTGGACCACAGCTTTTCAAAAACTCTGGTTCATTCTCAAGTGAAATATTTTGGTAAAGGTAGTGTAACATAAAGTTGTAACATCAACTTGAAACTTAGTACAAATCTTCATTGTGAATTTAACTTTTTAAATTTTATTGCAATATTACAGTTTACTCAACAATGAAGAGAAAAGGGGTATGGTGCCCCTTTGGAAACATATTGTTGATTTTATTATAACTACCTAGTGGAAGGCCATTTGATTTAATGATTAATAGGGATGGGTTCTTTGAATATTTTGCCAAAATAAAAAAAAAGTTTTTTTTTAGTTCTGTTAATGACTAATGAGCTCCTAGTACTGATAAAAACATGATTTATACCTCTTGAGTTATTTGAAAATGCTCTAAAATTATGTATCTTTTAACATTTTTAATGTAATTGTTCTAAGGTTCTTAGGAGCCTGTTTATTTTTTTGTCTGTGTGTTATGTACTAGTTTTTAATATTTATTAATTGGTTGTTGCTATTTTGTACGATTTTTATGTTTTCTAATTATTTTTACCAAAAAATATTTATATTTCTCAATTCAGTTCTTTTTTGTGATATAATTAGAATATTTTTTATATATATATTTAATTTTAATGCTGGTCTGTGATAATTTAAGATATAAAGAAAATAAAGAATATTTGACATTGTGTTGTTATTTGTTTTTTATCAGCTTTGCACTTTACTTAAAATGTGCACACCTTCAACTGTTAAACATGTTTTGTGAGATATCAAATTTCCCCCTAAACCTCTAGCCAATGTGGAATAAACAAACAGACAGCAATACGCACAGTAAAACTCAGCAATACGCACAGTAAAACTCAGTAGTTTTGCATTTTCAACTGTTCACTGAAAGAGACAATAACTTTCAAACTTCCACAACTGGTGCAGAAAATTTGGTACCTTTAATGTTGTTATTAACAAACCTGTTTTTTTTACAAAATATTCCAACACATTAATGAATGTTATATGATTTGAATGAAAGGAGGGATGGTTCATGGTATGTTTTAACATCAATATTATTTTGAGAACACGCCTATTGTTTTTGTCTCGCCTGTGTTGCAATATGCAAGGCATATGTATTACAATTCGGCAGCAGCGACGACGGCGTAAACTATTTGTTTAAGGCTTTATATTTCATCAGGTAGAAGACTCGGGTGCTTCATATCTTGTATACAGATACCTCCTGTTCATTTACAGCTTGAAAAAAAGAACTAGTTTTTTGTTAAGTGAAATACTCACTTACTATGTTAGCAGATCCTATTTACACGTGGAGCAGGATCTGCTTACCCTTCCGGGGCACCTGGGAACCTCCCCTTTTTTGTGGGGTTCGTTTTGCTCAGTCTTTGGTCTTCTATGTTGTTTTGTGTACTGTTGTTAGTCTGTTTGTCTTCTTATTTTTGTAGACATGGCGTTATCAATAGAAATAAGAAGATGTGGTATGAGTGCCAATGAGACAACTCTCCATCCAAGTCACATGTGTAAAAAGTAAAAAATTATAGGTCAAAGTACGGCCTTCAACACGGAGCCTTGGCTCACACCGAACATCAAGCTATAAAGGGCCCCAAAATGACTAGTGTAAAACATTTCAAATAGGAAAACCAACGGTATAATCTATATAAAAAAAAACGAGAAACGAGAAACACTTATGAGCAACATCAACAAACGACAACCGCTGAACAACAGGCTCCTGACTTATGACAGGTGCATACATATCCTGCAGCGGGTTTAAACGTTTTAACAGGCGCCAACCTTCACTCTAATCTGAAACAGTAGTGTACGTAACATTACAACACAAAAAGACACACTATAAAATATCAATTGAAATGGCTAAACTCGATCAAAGAGACATAAACAAAAACAAGTAAACATACACTGAACGAATAAATTTGATCTATGACACAATAAAAATACAATATTCATAAAAAAGATGTAAAACTATGTCACAAAGACAGTTTATTATTTTTTCGACTTGTGAGTTTTAATATCCCTTTGGTATCCTTCGCTTCTATTTCACTATAAGTAATAAGATAACTATATTTTATATAAAGGTTCTTTGCACACTCTACATGTCCGTCAGGTAGGGTTCACCTGACCTTGACGTTATTCCATGAATCAGTGATTAAATTTAAAATTACGTGGTCAAGTCCGTATCTCAGATACTTTAAGCAATAGGTTAACTTTATTGTTGGGAATGATTGTAAGGAGAACATGTCAGACTGAAGGTTTCATTTGACTTTTACCTAAATTTCATTTCTCGTTGCTCTCCTGTCTTGTATGCTATGTTATCTTATTCTTATCAAAATTCAGACAGTTATGGTTTTACTAGATATTTCCATTTCCACTTCCTCTTTACAATTGCAAATCTTAGTTGCAACATATGTAATATACATAAAATATATGATAGACATAAGAAGATGTGGTATGGTGTGCCAATGAGACATTATCCACCCATGGCACAATGTGTAAAAAGTAAACCATTAAAGGTCAAAGTACGGCCTTCAACACAGAGTCTTGGCTATGAACAGACAGATCTTTAAAGTGGGGAGGTATTTTCGATTGAACTGAATATGATGAAGGATATTGACTAAGTTGTTCGGATCGATACCTTGGTTGGCAGAGGAATGTTTCCAAAAAAAAAAAATCGTTTCTCTGTTATGGTTTTCCCTACGCCAACCGGTCTGAAAGGTTTGTCATACATGATAGCTACATCTATTAATTGGTTGATTTTGTTATTTAAATCCATAGATTGCTTTAATAGTTTGCCAAGACGTAGTTTATATCATAGCTTTCTCAAACAATTTGCCAAGACTTAGTTTATATCATAGCTTTTTCAAATAATTTGCCAAGACGTAGTTTATATCATGGCGAATTCGCATAGACTATTCATAATTGTGTGATAGAAAGAAAACTAGACCATAGATTATTAAGATAAAACTTGAGAGAAGATAGCTCTTATAATGGGCTTTCAAAATATAAAAAGGAAAAATTAGGGTGACGGGACTCGTGTTCTTGCTACAAAACATATATATAAAAAGATACTTAAGCCATTCCAGTATAAAAGTAGCATTATCGGAGGTATCTCTCCTTATATGGCAAAGCCGAAAACATTGAATCAAACAAAAAATGTTTTGCATTTGTAAAAAAACAGTCGCAAAAATATAATAAAACACATAACTTATTTCATTCAGATGAAAAGTCTGACACATCTTTTCTTAAAATGCGTACATTTCATTAAAGATCTGGACCGATCGTTTTGTGCTTTATACAACTCAAGATGCCGAAAGACACCCGAGCTACCTTAATGCCATTTTAAGCATGTTTGCCAATTTCATAGTGGCCATTTGTATTGGTTAGAGGAATCCGTAGTGCCAAGAGAGAACTATCGACCTTCAGCAGGGAAAGTGACAACCCTAGTCAATTAAAATAATGTTAGTGATATTGTAGATAAACTAATTAAACCACTCGAACACCGATGCTTCTGTATTGGTTTCAATTGGGATTTGTACCAGTTTCAGTGGTTTCCAAGCATAAGTTTTACAGAGGATGATGTTTTGGATGGGGTACTAGATATAGGTCCGTGCGGATGTGAGTATTACCCAACAGCTTCTGTATCAAAGACAGAAGGATAAGAAGATCCTGGTCGACATGTGACGCCTGTTGTGTTGCTCATGTAAGTACAATTCGGTTATAAGTCTAATCCGTGAGATCTGCGTCTTTTTTTTGAGTTGCCTTCATCTGGATTCTCAAATCTGAATATATTTAAAAACAACGGATGTATAAGAACCCAAAGAGTTGAATAGATATATGACCAAAGAGGACATAGAAATAATAGGCAAATCCAACTTATGCCAACTTTGACTAACAATTTTGTTATACATACATTGTAAAGGTTTTTGTTCAAGTTAAATGACAAAGGCTTGTCCTCACATCAGGTGTTTCCTGCATGTTTGAATAATATTTTATTGAGTGTACAAATTTAACATCCATACACATTTAATTTGATCACCTGGAACGAGAGTGTTATATAAAAACAAAACCTTTTTAGTTACTGTCCTTGTATAGTGATGGCTTTAGAAGAATAATTTAAGAAATTTTAAGTTCGATTTGAAAAAAAATCGTAATGGTATTAATCAAAATCACATCAACCCAATAACACAAATATATATATGATATATAAAGACCAAGAACCTAAAGCACATCAACCCAATAACACAAATAATTATATGATATATAAAGACCAAGAACCTAAAGCACTTAGATCTTTCCGGTAATAACAATACTGAATGGAACAATATGTATGGTAGACTTGCAGTGTTTGAATTCAATTGTTTTCTTTATTTTCATTATCAATTAAGAGGAAAATCAAATATATATATTTAACCTTTCATATCCCAGTGTCTTCTAGGACCTTTTTCAAACCAAAGGATTGTGAACGAATAAATAAAAAATCACATGACTAATTTGTTCAAAATTCGTTTGCTATTCTAAGAAATCTAGCCACCCGTTATGTTTATTGATATAAATTCCTTCTGTGTCATACGTCTAACTAGACACAAAGTATTTATTGTATCCCGAAAGAACTAAATCGGAACTATACACGGAATTTATTAACAATTATTTCATTTTACATATATTTTGAAGTAAGTTGAACACTTACCGTCACAACACATAAACTGGTAAGTAAGATTAATATACTTTGATAATTCCATCAACCTTAACATGCTTAACAATTATTACTTTATAAAAAAATTACAAAGGCAATAAATTCGCACCTGACATTAAATTTAGGAATACAGAGACAGAACCAATGAAGTGTTATATTATCAACAAACATGTACAGGTAAATTTAAAAATAAATGTATATCATTTTAAGCATTAGAGGCTAACAAAGGGATACATCGTGTATTTCAACAAATCAACTGTTGACCCATTGCTTTTATAATAATTTTATAAATTGATTGTGCGTAAAGAAACAGCAATTGAATTACTGGTTATGACACTCAGTGGCACAATATTGCAATATTTTCCCTGTTATCTGATCTTCTATGAAAGTAATTGAAAAGTAATTATTTTACATAGACACGTGCACTCTCAAACATTATAATACTTATAATTACACAATTTATCAAATCATATGTCCAAGCAGTGTACGTACGTAAAACGTTATTCATATATTATGCATAGGTAGAATGCATGTTAAATGTATGCATACCTATATTTTTAAAGTAAAAAAGCTCACTGCATTTGAATATACTTTAGGCTGAAACTTTGCCAATGGAATTCCTTAACACAAAACACAATAGAATTACCGGAATACAAAATTCAAAAGTTACCAGTGCCAAAATATATCACAAAACCGCGTCTAGGTTGGCAATGTTTTCAAGTTTAATTCGTGGCTGATTTTTGATAACCGGTAGATGTATGATATCTTCATTGAGACAATAATTATACAAAAGTGTAATGATATATTGAAGTAATTTGACAGTTACTGCAGTTTAAAAACATATCTTTCATGTATACCATATTGTATAGCTGTATGCTTAGAACATGACTGAAAAACTAAAAATGACTTTATAACTCAGTGTTCAATCTTTATAGAGCCGTTTATGTGTTACTTAGTACGACTTTATAACAATCTCCACTCTGAATCGAAAACATCATAGAAAAAAGGCGGCATTTACCAAGGCGACCGTCAAAACTCATAGATCAAAGAAAAATTGACAACATCATGGCAAAAAAAGAAAAAACGACGAAAAGAAGAACAAATCCAAAAAACAGTACATAAACCATTCAATTTTCTTTATAAATTATCTTCTTGCACCAACTTGCTTCCTGTCTCAACGTGGCTTTACCAATTAGGAATTTTTCAAGTGCATTAATATTTGTATTGTATTATTGTATTGATTTTCACAAATTGATAGAATGTTTCACCTTGCAAAGAACATTTTTGAACCAAACTTGTATGAAAAATTAAAAAAAATCATCAAAGATGCAAGATTTTTAATTTGGTTTGCCTGGCGCGCGTTTCGTCTACCGAAAAACTCAAAAGTTGTACCTTGATAAAATAAATATAAAAGGCGCAATTCAACAAGGAAGTTTAAGAGCATTGAAAGCCAACATTTAAAAAAAACATTGTGCCAAATCTGGCGAAATTTTTGCCTGGCTGGAGGAAAACCCTCGCGGAACAAATCTTAATTTCATACTACCTGGTATTATCGAGGTTAGACCCTAGATGTATCCCTTTTTTTAATATATTGTTGTAACTTATTCTAAATTATCGATTACAATAACTGTAATTAAACTCCTCTGCATATCAAAGAGTATTTAAAATGGATGAGGAAGTCACCTTTTTCAATATGAGAAATCATTAGTTTAAGGGTATTGTGAAAAAAAAATATCCGCCTTTTGTTTTATTTTAAAACTGTTATTTCATGTTTATTCGAGTATTTTTTGTTTCAGGATCCAGGAGAAATAAGAAAGGAAATATTAAAACAGTCCCGACTTCAAAACTATTCTGTTAAAATGCAGAGCGAACGATTTGTTAAGATCAAAAGCTTTTGGGAAAAAAAAGCAAGAGGAGAGAAAAACAATATAATTTCAAAAAATGTACAAATAGATACATGTAATACTGTCCATTGCACAATTCGACCGAAATGCACACATTTGAACAGACAGACAGCCGATGAGACCCTTGAGACAGCTATAAATACTAAGTGTCGGAGGAGACAAGAAGAGTCCGTTAATACTTTTCTAGCTGGTGTAGGCGTTGTCGGATTTTGCTTTGTTGTGATCAAGATGTTAATGCCACATGCGGTAATCATTGGCTCATTCATGTCGTGAACTAATAACCTAGTTACCATTCCTAGTAACGTTTAACAATACATAACTTATAAAAAGATCAGGCTTTTATTTCGTTTGCCTTAATCTGAAAAATTTTGTCGAAGTGAAACAAAGACGAGTCAGGTCGAGCTTTTACATTTGATACGGATACTGCTACAGTACATGCATAAGGTTTGATGTTTACAATAGATACGTACGTCATGGGCAGTCTTTCAGTGAATTTTCAGATTTATCCTCCGCGGTAAAGTCTGTACTGTACGGAAAATTCGCTTGCAGGCAATCCAGTATTGTTCAGTAGCTTTTAGAAAATTCAGTGTTCCTGATCTGTAAAGGTACATTATTACCTCTGAACAGTCTGCAAATAGACTGAACAGACTTCAATTGACTGCAGTACTGAATTTACCGCAGACCACAAGTCTGAAGATTGAAAAATTGTAAATTACTGTATAATGTGTTGTTCAATCTTTTAAGAGCTATTTCAGATTAAAATGGCCATTTATGACCAGCCACATACTCCGCAATAATCGTATTTAGCAGTTATATCAGTCCACACTAAACATGTAATATCGCTGTGTATCTCATTCTCAAAAATTTTGTGATCGCAATTTGTTCACATAAGCTCACAATGGACCACTCTATAAATTGTTAACATTTTCTTACCAGATTATACTAGTATTCAAAGTGTAAATACAAGTACTGTTCATTAAATTTTAAATTTTTAGACATAGAGTTTTGTTCAGATATTCAAAATAACCAGAACGTTTGACAAGTGAACACCAATATCGAAGTACATTTTTTTATAGTTTGGAATATTAATCATTGTGACTTCTATTTAATTCGGTAATAGTGTTTGTTGTATTGTTATCACATTCACCAATTGTAGACTTGATTCATTTGCAAAATGTGTTAGAATATTTGTAGATATCCTGTCTTATTTTATTCATAAGATATATGTAGATTTCGAAAAATCCACACACACTCATTAGACAATCTGGATATGATGTTTTTAGTAGTGGTGAAGTATGATGTACTGTACAATATATATATACTTGATACGGGTACTGCTATAGTACATGCATAAGGTTTGGTGTTCACAATAAATAAGTTAGTCATATGCAGTCTTTTAGTGAATTTTCAGATTTATCCTACGCGGTAAATTCTGTACTGTACGGACAATCCGCTTTCAGTCAATCCAGTATTGCTTAGTAGCTTTTAGAAAATTCAGTTTTCCTGATCTGTAAAGGTACATTATTACCTCTGAATAGTCTGGACATAGACTGAACAGTACTGAATTTACCGCAGTCCACAAGTTTGAAGATTGAAAAATTGAAAACTACTGTATAATTTGTTCAATCTTTTAAGAGCTATTTCAGATTAAAATGGCCCTTTATGACCAGTCACATACTCCGCAATTATCTTATTTTGCACTGATAAATTATATCAGTCCACATTTAACATGTAATATCGCTGTAGATCTCAATCTCAAAAGTTTTGTGATCGCAATTTGATCACATGCGCTCAAAATCGACCACTGTATAAAATGTTAACATTTTCTTACCAGATCATACTAGTATTCAAAGTGTAAATACAAGTATTGTTCATTAAATCTTAAATTTGTAGACATAGAGTTCTGAAATCCAAAATAGCCAGTACTTCTAAGAAGTGAACACTAATATCTAAGTAGTTAGGAATATTAATCATTGTGACTTCTATTTAATTCGGTAGTAGTGTTTGTTGTATTTTTATCATATTCATCAAATTTAGACGTTACCCATTTGTAAAATGTGTTAGAATATTTTTAGTTATCCTGTGTTATTTTATTCATAAAATATATGTAGATTTAGAAAAATCCACACACACACTTATTAGACAATCTGGATAGTGTATTTTTGTTGTAGCTTATTTTCCTATCTAGAGAAGGTGGTTGTTGGTTGTTGGTGTAGTATGATGTACTGTACACAATGTTTTGGTAATAACTGTTATCCTTCAAGATTTAAATTAGTTTTTTTTCTATCTTCATTACAAGTGTAAAAGAGAGGCTGCTAAAGATACCAAAGGAACATTCAAACTCATAAGTCGAAAATAAACTGACAACGCCATGGCTAAAAAGAAACAGACCAACAGACACACAATAGTACACAAAACACAACAAAGAAAACTAAAGACTGAGCAACACGAACCCCACCAACAATGGGGTGATCTCAGATGCTACGGAATTGTAAGTCTTGCCCTGATTGTGGTACCAGTCGTGTTGCTCATCTTAGTACGAACCTGGTAATAAGTCTAATTCTGTAGGTCACTTTGGGGAATGACGGGATTGTAGTTACAAAATTAGGAACATATCCGCTATCATCTGTGAAACGGATATTCCATAACGATAACCAACTCGTGATGGCGTCCGTAAAACATTCGAAGGAATGATTTCAACTTCACAGCTTGGAACTCTTGGATAAATAGCTACCTTTCGAGCAGCAAACCTCTATCTAGGAAATCATGATATGAAATACAAGCCCTGGAACATCGTATCACCTGGGAGATATATTCTCCTTATGCAAGGTAATAACTAATTGTAAGTGCACTCTATTATGATTGGATAAAACATGAATAACAAACGATACTCGTAAACAAAACATTTCTTCAACAACGGGTTTGTTGAACGAAATTAACAACCCATTAGGTTATAGCACGGAAGGTTAGAAAAACTCCACTGAAATTGAATTATTTTTCCGTGTAAATATTAAGAATATATCTATTCTACATGTTCTTAATCCTTTAACTTAGTGTATTTGAACAGTCATGTAAGAATATTCTGCAACTTCATTAGAGGAAGGCCACCTTTATCGCGTTTGTATAATGTTAGAAAACATAATTTATCTATTATTTATAATTGGTTTTAAACTAACTTTCAGTAACAGCAATGACTATGGCCGGAACTTTACGTCTTCTGTGTTTATAATAGTTGTTTTTTGCTACTAGTTGCTCATACAAGTCAAACCCTTTCAAACCGTTTTTACAGAAAGCTTTCAGTTACACTATTGTCCTAGGTAATGAGAAGATTGAGCGCCCGCCAACATGTTTTAATGAAACATGCCACCTTTTATATGTGCATGTCCAAAATCTGTTTTTTCTTCGAAAACAAAATCTTACGACAAAAAGTAATGGTAACTTACACTGAAATTTTCATGCTTTAAGAGAATTTAAAAAAAAACTCACGTCAATCCAACGACACAAAGACATTTACGATATCTAAGAGATCAGCACGAAGATCTTTCCGGTAATAACAATACTGAATGGAGCAATATGTTTGCAATATTGCCAGTGTTTTAATTCAATTGTTCCTTATTTTCATTATTACTTAAGAGGAAAATCATATATATATATAACCTTTGCATACACATGCCGTGAAGTATCCTAGTGTCTTCCAAGAACCTTTTTAAACCAAAGGATTGTGAATAAATAAATAAAGAAATCACGTTACTGATTTGTTTAGAATTCGTTTGCTATTCTAAGAAATCTAGCCACCCGTTATGATTATTAGTATGAATTCTTACTATGTCATGCTTCTGACAAAAGTGTTTATTGTATTCCGAAAGAACTAAATCGGAACTATGCACGGAATTATCTAAAAATTATTTTCATTTTTACATTTATTCTGAAACTTACCGTCATAACACAGAAGCTGGTAAGTAAGATTATGTACTTTAATACATTTTGTAATTCCATCAACCTTTGCAATTATTGCTCTATAAAAAAATTACAAAGGCAATACATTCGCACCTGACATTTAATTTAGGGATTAATATAATAAGAGAACCAATGAAGCGTTATATTATCAACAAACGTGTACAGATAAATTTAAGAATAAAATTGATATCATTTTAAACATTACAGGCTGACAAAAGGATATATCGTGTATTTCAACAAACCAACTGTTTTTCTTTTCTTTTATGATAAATGAAAAAAAAATATTGTGCATAAAGAAACAGCAATTGAATGACTGGTTATGAAACTAATAGCACAATATTGCAATATTTTAGCTTTTGATTGATCTTCTATGAAAGTAATTCCATAGTCGTCATTTTACGTAGACACATGCAGTCTCGACATTATTATACTAATTATTACATAATTTATTAAATCATATATCCACGAAGTGTACGTGCGTAAAACGTCATTCATATATTATATATAACTATAATAATAACTACAATTAACACCTCAGAATTAATAATAACAAAAATAAAAGATGTCAAAAGTTCAATTTTAGAATTTATATGTATAAGTTATAACACTGTACAGGACCACATATATCTTTCGTTTATATCGTTTCGAACTGTTATCAAGTTTTGATTAATTTTGATGTTTATTCGATTTGTTTTGGTAGCAGGATCAAGGAGAGATAAGACAGAAAATATTAAAACAGTCCCGACTTCAAAACTATTCTGTAAAAATGCAGAGCAAACGATTTCTTAAGATCAAAAACTTTTCGGAAGGAAAAAAAAAACAAGAGGAGAGGGAAACAATATGATTTCAAAAAATGTACAAATAGATGCACGTAAATAAAGGCAACAGTAGTATACCGCTATTCGAAATTAATAAATCGATTGAGAAAAAAAAATCCGGGTAACAAATAAAACTGAGGGAAACACATCAAATATAAGAGGGGAACAACGACACATCAGAAACACAACACTAAAATGCAATACACACAAAAACGAACCATAATATAACAATGGCCATTTTCCTCACTTGGTACATGAAATTTTAAGAAAAAATGGTGGGTTGAACCTAGTTTTGTGCTAGCCAAACCTCCAGCTTTTATGGCAATGTTAAATATAACATTAAAATGACAAGATTACATGACAGGACTACAATACATATAAATGGGAGAACAAACAGGACAGAGACACACACACAAATAATAGCTATCAAAAGGTACCAGGCTTATAATTTAATACGCCAGACGCGCTTTTCGTGTACATAAGACCCATCAGTGACGCTCAGATAAAAAAATTCGAAAGCCAAAACAAGTACAAGGTTGAAGAGCATTGAGGACCAAAAATTCCAAAAAGTTGTGCCAAATACGGCTAAGGTTATATGCATGGGATAAGAAAATCCTTAGTATTTAGATCAATTAATATTTTTTCAAACAGTAAATTTATAAAAATGACTATATAATAGATGTACATGTTAACAACGAAGTGCTGACTAACTACAGAATAAAAACGAATACGGAAAACACCCTAAATCATAAAAGAGGCACAGCCGAACAACGTATTATATGCTAGCCGAAGAGATCGACGCACAATGTGACATCACATATAAATTTCTATCAATTTCCAAACAATAGGATATAGTTCAAGATTAGGTTTGTATTACTGATATAACATGTATTAAAAACAATAAAAATTACAATACTTATTAATATACAATTGTGGTAGTAATTAGATAATTAATTGTATTATCAAGCTATGTCGGTATTTCTTCTTAATTAAACTGTAAACCAAATACATCGTATAAATTTAGTTGACCCAAACTAAAATCTTATAAATGAACTGCGTGATTAATTGTCTTTACTGTAACACACGAATAGAAATAAAACAAATAAGATTTACAATAACAAACGATAAGACATTTGACAAAATCCGATGAGAATAACAAATATAACATCAAAACTAAATACATGGATTTTGGATAAAAAATACCGTTACACGTCTTATAGCAATGCGAATTCACACTCAGCAAAACAGTCACAATCGGGAATAAGTCACATTCGGTACTTAAAAGATCAGACGACGGAATGGAAAACCACAATCTAACACGTGGTAAAAATGTCCTTTGTTAGTTTGGACAAAGACATATCTTATGAATTAACCAATTCGTGATGGTGTCCATAAAATTTACGGAGTGTCATTTGTAATCTGTTCTTCTCATAACTTTGTTGGAGCAGTATTTGCGTTAGGAGCACACTCCTGTATAGGAAGTCCGTATACTGTGTAATACTGTTCATTCGACCAATATACACACTTTTTGACAGAGAAATCAGAAGAAACCCTAGAGACAGCTATAAATACTAAGTGTCAGAAGAGGCAAGACGGGTACGTTAATACTTTATTGGACTGGTTCCCTGTCCTTTATCTGTTTGGCTCTGACAGATATAAGCAACAAAGGTATCTGAGATACCCGTATATTGCAAGGGAGAGGACCAGCTTAATACTTTACTAGCTGGTGTAGGTGTTGTTGGGATTTGTTATGTTGTGATCAATATGTTAATGCCACATGCGATAGTCATTGGCTGATTTATGTCGTGATCTAATAACATAGTAATATATGCTTTTTTGTACTTCTTTGTTAAATATTTGTTCGTTTTTGTTTTGATTAAGATTGTGACACGGTGTTGACTGCTGTACCCCTAATTTACATTTTTACCTATTATGTCTGTTTGTTTTAATCACACTTCGTTGTCAATATAATGGAATTTGATGCGACTGTCATACAAGTGAGAGGTTTAGCGCTATAAAACCAAGTTCAATCCACCATTTTCTATATAAGAAAATGTCTGTACCAAGTCAGGAATATGACAGTTGTTGTCCATTCGTTTAATGTGTTTGTGCTTTTGATTTTGCCATTTGATTAGGGACTTTTCGTTTTGGATTTTCCTCGGAGTTCAGTATTTTTTTGATTTAACTTTTTATTATTCCTAGTTACATTACACGAGATAAAACGTATAAATGTATGTCTGTAGATAGGTACAATACAGCCCAGGTGGATATTGCTTTGTCCACACGCCTAAACAGTTGGAGTTAACACCGGGTTGGCAAATTTTCTAGCTTTCCACTCTACTCACCGATAGGAGTCGACATGCAAATTCTCTGTTGAATCAAAAGATTTGCAAGTACAATCAACTGAAAAAGACCCAGATAAGCATTGGTTATGACTATTTGTACAAAAAAGAGGACATAGCTAGAGTGGGCACAGGTTGGCTGTCTGCTCTTGACAGGTGGAAAAAGAAAAATCCACAAGAGCTGTTTTGTATTTCACGTCGTTAGACATTAGTAATGTGATTCAAATTGATCTGATACGAATCTAGCCTTCCCTTGTACATAGAATTAACACTGTTGTCCTAGTTCAGGAGAAGGTTTTGCTCTTACGCATGTGTTTACCTGTTACATGCCATATTTTATATTTACATGTCAAAAGCTAGAGACTTAAGATATGTTGTTGACTTTTGTAGTTGTCAGCACTATTTTTGTTATTTGTTCTATGCTTTCGCATATATCTAGCTGTTGGCGAACCTACTTCTTAATAGCAAAAATATATTCACAAACTATACCGAGCTCCGTGGTCAATCAAAAAAGGGTGACGTTCATAAAACCTAACAAGTCAACCGTTAGAGCATATTAACAAACGGAACGGAACAACTGCCATAGTTCTGACGTGGAACAGGCACTGTGCGAAGGAGTACGTTTTATGGTTAAATACCGTTCTATTAGCAGTCCGGGCACTTAGAGAAACTCCATAATTTTAAAGAATTTTTTGAAAAAAAAGTTGTTTCCCTTAGACTTATAAGCCGAATTACCGATGGAAGATATATTTTTAAACATGATTTTAACCAAAAAAGGGAGACAAATGATTAGTGTTTAAAACAGTAATTGTGCAAGTTCCACCAGCATAATAAAATACAACATATAAGTAAAAATTAAAATCATTTTCTTTATTGCAATAGTAAAGTACATAATATACATGTATAATAGATAAACTGTGGGATTTAAAAAAATAGGAGCCGACGTCTACGTCACTTAAACAGCAACCAATCCTTACAATAGGTAACTGACAACAACGTCAATATAGAGCGATAAACCATGCACAGATGCCTACTAAATAGATTACGCTCTTAAATTTTCCTCTTCTTAAGATATAACCCCAAACCCTAAAATAAATCAACGGATGAAGTGAATATGTTTTGTACAATGTTGATTGTCTTTTAGTCGTTCTTCGTTTTTTGCCATGACATATTGTCCGTTGGTTTTCGATTAATTAGTTTGAATATTACTTTAGTATCTTTGGCCTCTCTTAATCACTTTGGACAGGCACATGCATAACATTAAAAGTTGGAGAATGTAACATTTTCTTTTGTTTTCAAAACTCAGCATTGTTATCTCTACCATCGGAAAACCAAAGGAGCACACAAAATAATATTTGTTTGAAGAATTGTCAGAAAATCACTTTATTTCAAAATATGTTTGTAAAATGATTACAACGGTGCAATACTTTTAACTGTTACAATACGATGGCACTTGTATCACAAGTATCTATAATTCCATGTTCTGACTGAAATTCCATATTCAACCATGTAAAAGCGCAACAATTTGGAACACAGTATTATAAAAAAAAAATTCACGTTGTGTGCCTCTAATGATTCCGTACTTAATATCACCATCTTACTAACAATGCGCCATTACGGTTAAAATAAATGTTATGCTGGCGAAGACTGAAATAGAGTCAGAATTATTTTGATTATTACATATATGAGTCCAGTTGCTTTTAAATATTGTCTCTTTTTCAATTCTTTTTTGTTCATTTAGGGAAATCATTAATTAGTCGTTAAACTAATACCAAGAACGAAAACTACCTATCTCATTAACACATTTAAAGCTAGCAAGAGTATTTTAACATTCCCGATTTTATTAAAATATGCTTTGCTTAATGTGAATTTCCTTACTCTGTTTATGAAAACATTGCTGTTCTTTACCAGCTTTATCATAATATTTCCCTACTCAATTGATCTGAAACAGTATACTATGAAAAAAGTGGTTGTGAGTAATTTTGTAGATTATCATTGGTCACATTTTGGGCGCATATGTAACTGCTATTTGTACAAACAGGTAGTGGGTCATTCTGTAGATCACCATTAGTCATATTTTGGGTGCAATTGTAACTGCCATCTGTATAAACAGGTGGTGGGTCATTTTGTAGATCATCATTGGTCACATTTTGGGCGCAATTGAAACTGCCATTTGTATAAACAGGTGGTGGGTAATTCTGTTTGAAACTGCCATTTGTATAAACAGGTGGTGGGTCATTCTGTAGATCACCATTAGTCATATTTTGGGTGCAATTGTAACTGCTATTTATATAAACAGGTGGTGGGTCATTTTGTAGATCATCATTGGTCACAATTTGGGCGCAATTGTAACTGCTATTTGTATAAACAGGTGGTGGGTCATTCTGTAGATCACCATTGGTCACATTTCGGGCGCAATTATAACTGCCAATTGAATAAACAGGTGGTAGGACAGCAGGTGTTGTTGTGTCTCCGTCTGTTGAAAAAAAAGGAAAATAAATCGTCCGCTGATAGCCTGAGCAATAATAATTCTAAATCATTAATATGGTTTGGTCTGTTTTGTTAAACTGAATTACTTTTCAATCTTTGCTATTGAGTAGTAAGCGTGCATGTTGCCGTATTTGGCACAACTGTTTGGAATTTGTGGTCTTCAATGCTTTTAAACTTTATGCTTGTTTGGTTTTTTTTAACAATGTTGATCTGAGCGTCACCGATGAGTCTTATGCAGACGAAACGCGATTCTGGCGTATCAGTTTATAAGCCAGGTACCTTTGATAACTATTGGCAAATAGTCGCGAGTCTGGTCATGTCTATTTTGATATTTGAGTAAAAAAGTTAAAGGAGGTGCAGAAATGCAGGGCCGATCATTTCAATTGTATTATATGATAATTGGTCGACAACTTTCACATTTTCCCTCTGCTTTTACTGCCAAAAAAATATTAATGGTTACGGACAGGACTTGATTACTGAAAATATAAGGCAATGACGTCACGTACATGTATCAGTGCAGCAACGTCGCGTGTTTATTTCAATCCTAGTCAATTTTATCCATGAGATATATACAAGTGACTTCATGCGTACAACATACTAATTTCTGGGAAAGTACTTTTATTCGTAGAGTACTTATTGTTGTGGTTTTCGAGGATGGTTTTATCCACAAATTTAATTGTCTATCGAATTAAAACAACTTCTGTCCAAATCAAGGCATTAAAATATCCCTATGCAGGTTTGACTAAATAGATAGGTGCATATGAGTTTAAAAATACAATAAGTACTGTAAACCAACTTAATTTTGCGAGCTATTTATGTTCGCAACTTTCGCGAATAGAAAAATAACGTGAATATAAATCGTCGCGAATATGTAAAATTTGGACCATTCCTTATTAAACTTCATCAAGAAAGTCAGAAAATCGCGGAATTGAATAGCCGCGAAGTGGTCTAGAAAGGGTAAAACGCGAAATAAAGTATCCGCGAAAATAAATTGGTTTACAGTATCACTAAATATAAAAAAGAAGATGTGGTATGATTGCCAATGAGAAAACTCTCCACAAGAGACCAAATGACACAAAAATTAACAACTATAGATCACCGTACGGCCTTCAACAATGAGCAAAGCCCATATCGCACAGTAAGCTATAAAAGGCCCCGAAATGACAATGTAAAACAATTCAAACGAGAAAACTAACGGCCTAATTTATGTACAACAAATGAACGAATAACAAATATGTAACACATAAACAAACGACAACCACTGAATTACAGGCTCCTGACTTGGGACAGGCACATACATACAGAATGTGGCGGGGTTAAACATGTTAGCGGGATCCCAACCCTCCCCCTAATCCTGGGTGCAACAGTACAACATAAACCCTTTTTGAACTAAATATACAATTTCAAACAGGATTTTACCCGTTTAATCTGAGAACAAAAGAATACAGTTTTGACTTTAAACATTTTTAGGTCTCATGAGAAATAGTTAAGATCGATGAAAGTCACTTCCGGTGATGAAATGCGATGATGAAGTGTTTATTTTAACTCCTTTTATCATACGGACCAAAATTCATTATTTCATATTGTGGCTTTTTTATTTTGTCAGAATTAATTCTTTAATTCTAAATATACTTATTTATTCATATAACTGTTTTCTTTTAGTGACATGTTTATGCATATGACAGTTGCTATCCATTCGTTTGATGTGTTTGAGCTTTTGCTTTTGCCATTTGATTAGGGACTTTCCTTTTTGAATTTTCCTCTGAGTTCAGTATTTTTGTGATTTTCCTTTTTACTGCCAAATTAACACCTATGATATTCGTTATTCTGCAGAAAGACCAATAATTGATTGTTCATCAGAGTTGGACACACCTTGCATTCTGTCAATTATAATAAACAATGTACGATATTTATTATATTGCTAGTTATGTATGCATCTTTTTTAAACTACAAATACCTCCTATATTATATATCGGATTCTGTTGTATCCATCCATTATTCCTGTCTGTCTGTGTATTTGTGGAGGTGTATGGGACATTCCTTCGTACATGTCTTAGTAGCTTTCTTATCCATCGCCAACTCACAAACACAATAGTTATAAGTAGAATAATGCCAGATATTGCCACAATGACAAAGCAAACATAAAGAGAAACACCACTGTAATTAGAACGGAGATAAACAGCACATTATTTTGCAATTCAACTATGCCTTTGTTTTGTATCTAAAAATGCGAAGATAACCTATTTGTTTTGTAGAATCATCAGCGTATAAATCATCGAATTGTCATATTCGTGAAATGTAACTGGCCTGTGTAACCTAGGCAAATTTATATTGATATATATATATATCGGACATTGAAAATGAGAAATTATTGTTTATCATACATAAAAAATGTAATTTTGTGAAGTTTTTTCGAATTGTTTTGTATAAAAATATGAATACTATATGATTACCTATGCGATAACTTTCCATAAGGGGTCAAATGACTCATAAGTTAGTAGTTATAGATCAAAGTGTTTATTTACTTATCTTCGTTTTGTGTTGTCGTGATTACTTGTATTCAAACTGTATTTTATTTCTACGAAATGTAAAACGTAAGCTTGAAAAAAATTAAGTAAAAATTTTCATTTAGGTTGGTACATAACACTGCGAGGAGATAACTCAGTAAAAATCAGCTGAACGTTTTAATTATGTTTTATTGTTAAAGAAATATTTAGCTTTTCAATGATCAAAATAAGTGCAGGTCATGCCTCTAAATATCAAGTGACACTTTTCCAATAAATTGTGTAGTTCAAGTTCTTTGAAAATTTCCATATTTTGTCTAAATTTTGTGAAAATTAAACGAGCCAAATTAATTTTAGTAAAGGTGTTTGTTAACAGCATAAGTTAAGGAGATTGGCTTTCTTGTTGTAGGTAAGTATAACATTTCTATATAAATGTACAATATTAGGTCAATGTTAGAAAAATATAAACTTTTCTGTATAAGGCTGAGAAAATGGAGAAGGGCGAGATTCTACCCAGATCTTCCCAAGTTTTGGGCCGAATACAAAAAAGTTTATATTTTGATGACATTGACCTAATATAGTTTTTATACTGCAACGTAAATTAATACATTGATAGCTATTTTAATTGTAGTTCAAATTTCAAACTTATTTCATCCCTTAATGAACCCTTGTTTGTGGAGAAAGTTTTCCATGATGAAATTGACATTGCACACAATATAGCTGTGTTACTATATTTAGGAAATAAACACAATTAGTTTTTGTATAAAAACTTTTGTCATGATTTTTTTTATAGTAATCTCTATTATAAAATATAAAAAAAATAGTGTTCATCCAAATGAATGAAATACCCTATCTGCTATTTCCTATTTTAACAACTGTCGTCAAATGTTTTAATGCACGTGTAGAAATGTAACCACATTTGGTACGACGTTAAACAAGACAACGTGTAATATATGTATATATAAGAGTAGGGGAAGTAAGAACCAAGAAAAGGATGGTTTTGTGAAACATCAAATCTCTACAGATAATATCATGAACTACATAACATCAAGGAATATGTAAGAATGAAACATGATATTGGATGTTACATTGTCATAATTAAATTATAGTTTACGTCTTTTGCATGACAGGGGAGAAAACATAAACACTTCAGACCAATTTCTATTTGCATTTCTAAATTATTGCAGCAAAATAATTCAAATAAAAGTTAACATGATCACAAAAAGATGCGGTAAAAAGGTATGTCTTGGGTCAGCACATACATTTGTTTCCAAAATATACTTAAAATTATATAAAAAAAGAGATAAAAAATAAAATAAATAAAATAAACTCCGTCATTTGAAATTCATTGGATTTCTTAAAGTTTTTATTATCAAGTTTGTAAAATTTTAAAATTTTACCAATTATTTTGAAGAAGTTGTTCCTATTCCTTCAGCAATTTGTAGACTCTCCTTCGAATTACATCCCATATTACGAATAATTCGTGAATCCATATTAACCAATGTTTTTTATTCTCACATTATATGCTGATCAACGCAGGTTTTTGTGGTTAACATTGCGTTGGCAATTTTGTAAATATAGGCTTATGATTTATTCCTAATGCCGTTATAAAAGATTTGCATGTGTTAAAATCCTATCATTAAATCTAAAATAAGATGTTTATACATACATGTACGTTAAAGTAATCAAAGTCTTGGTGGTCTATACTTTTAAGTAATACATGTTTGAGGATCTGGGTTTGGGATTCCACAATTTCTGTATAATATTTTTGTCAAGCATTTGTATTTAACTTTAAAAACAACGCTTGTTCTGTAAGATTGTCGACTTTAGTTTTGATTTTATTTAATTACATCCTTTATATATGTATACCTTCATTTCTGTAATCAACATTTCTTTAAATAATTCTTTTGTTTTCAATATCTATTCTTTATTCTTTTCCACCCTTATATAATCTAATCTTAAGCTTTCTTACCTTGCCTTACTAATTTTGATCTAGTCCGTTTTATTTGCCGTCGGTAGAAACAAATACAGCATATCGAAAGTAAGTTTATTTCTTTTTTATTTAATATTTAAAGGTAGAATTATCTCATACTCCTGTTACAGACGTATAGAAACTACGGAAAAAAAACGCTTCTTATGTATATATATTTCAAGAAATCAGACCTATTTGTTTGAAAATGACCTGACGAATAACCAATCTGATTGATTTGTTTAGATTTCATCTAGGTTCTTTTCATCAGTATATACACGTAACACATACTTACAAGGGACGTTTGCTGCTATTCGAGGAATATTGATCCGTGCTGTTTAATGGTGTTTGTGTTGTATATGGTCTATCTGAAGTCGTGCTTGCTCTAGAAAAATAAAAAAATAAAGATATGCTCAACAAAGAAACATGACAAAATTTGACCAGACATGACTCGGCAATCCATATTAAAAAGAAAATGTGGTATGATTGCAAATGAGACAACTCTCCAAAAGGGACCAAATGACTTAGAAATTAACAACTGTAGGTCATCGTACGACCTTCAACAATGAGCAAAGCTCATACCCCATAGTCAGCTACAAGAAACCCCATGTCTACTAGCAACATATGCCTTTCTATTAGGTGATATCTTTTTTATTCCTGTTGTCGATTGATTGATGTATTGATGTTTGACGTCAAGTGTTATTTCTTAAATTATATCTTAACGGACAATTTTGATGTGATTGGAATTGAAACTTTGTTTTGTACTTTCTGACTGAGTGCAGAATTGCATGGAAGATGATGCAAGCATATATAAGAAATGCTTTCTCTGTCGACAAACCAGATTTTGCTTCTTTTTGAGTTCATTTACTTCACTCAGTTTTTGTTTTCTAGTTTATTTTTTGTATTGTGTTAATCGGTTTATGAGATTTCATGATGATTTAGATTTCTAGTCTATTCGTGTGCAAAGTATCTGTACTTGTGATAACATCACGACTTATCCCACATATATTTTGAGTATTTGTTTTTGACCGGGTCTGGAATCAAAACCACGGCATCCATCTCTCAAAACTAGCACGCATTGTGTGTTTTGCCTCTTGTGAATGCAAGTTGAAAAAAAAAATGAAATAAATAAAAAAGTCAACAAATTTTTACATACGGTTCACATCTGTGATAGAATACATCAGGAACACAAAACTTGTTACCATTCTTTTCACAACATTCGTTGCAGATCCTTGTTATATACCAGCTTCCACTGGAACTGGAACAACATGAACAAGGTTTGCTGTAACATTTACTTTTCCAATAAAATGTTTCACATTTTTCAGCTGAAGCAAAAAAAAAAAAAGAGACAAAAGAAATCAAAATCATTATTGAAAAAATGAGATTTGTTTTCCTCTTCTTTTCGTTGATTTAAAATGTCACACAATATCCTTTTAATAATTTAAAAAACTTTTATATATATCGATTACAACTTTTTTTTCTTTTTTTACACTATCAAAATACAAAAATGTATTTAACTTTAAATGTTATATTGGTCAATTTTATGTTGTCAAAGATCAAGATAATTTTACTACTGGTCATATATAAACGAGGTTGCAAAATATAAAACACTGGTCAAGGAAAGGCTTAAGACAGATTGAAAATGAAGTACGTTTTATACTGGAACCTTGGGACATGTAAGGATTCATTTGTCTTTGAATTTTCTGTACGGTAAATTCACCGTTTCAGAATTTAATGCATTCTGGGAATTCAACCAATGAAATGACTTATTTCTTTGAGGGGTAAGAAAACTGAGGTTCAGTGAAGTTAATAACAAAATTAAATGACGATGAATTTGTAATAAATGTCCAGTGGCAAATATCATATGAACAAATATGAATGTGATATGACCCTAGTTAGACCACAAGATAAGCTCAATACCTTATGTTCTAGTTCAAAAATTAAGAGTCCGCTGGAACACTTGTCATAATACATGGATACATCATTTTGACTGCGAGACTACTAGTCTGCTATCATCTCTTTATACCGCATGCGTTTTAATACCTACTTTCATGTCTATGAGTGGACACGGCATGGATAGAACATATAAATCCCCGCAATTACAGCACCTACGCTACTACTATGTTAATGCGATTCTTGAAAAGACGAACATGTAGTAGTAATTCATGAGACAAAATTCCTAAACGGACGAAGATTAAACCGTTTTCCATTTCGCTTTGGTTCCTCCTGTTTCTGATTGTTTACAAGATATTCGAAATTCACCGGTTTTATCCATGTTGTGCCATTTAAAGATTGCCGGCTAACCGCTATTTTTCTTTTCATAATTTAATCAAATTTTTTTAAAGCATATTTAAAAATCTGAATGAAATCCTTGTTATTGTTTTTCAGAGTTTTTGGTTGAAAAAAAGGTGCCAATGTTAAATGTATGACATTTCTAGAGAAAATCTTTTCCCGCTACATTGCCAAAGGCTTATATCTTGAAAAGAAGCACATGCATCCTTATTCTTGTTGAGCTTTTCTAGTTTCTTTATTTATATGCTATCAATGTATAATCAGTCTTTTAAAAACTTGTTATTTTGAGAAAGAATATCGAACATCCTTATAGACTATGTAATCAAGGCAACATCAGTATACCGCTGTTCGAAAGACATAAATCTATTGAAACAAAACGAATCCAGGATACAAACTTACACCGAGGTAAACACATCACTTATAAGAGGAAAACAAATGATCAACAGAAACAATAAAGTGCAACAAAAACAAAGGATTGCAAATACAGACAACACGTAACAACCCATGGCTTACTCATGACAGCATTTAGCAACAGTTAAAAATGAATCGTTTGCTATAGCATAAAATGTAAAGCTCTCAATTAGTGGGTTTATTTCTTTTTCAATGAGGAATATCAAAACTTGATCTTTGTAAAAATACAGAAAACATTCAACTGTGAAATATAACTTTAAATTCGTTATCAAGTATTAGTGTTCGCTCAAGTGGAAATTAATAATAAACAATGGAGTTAAAAAAGCATAACACAATAAACTATACAAACAGGAAGCTTGATTCTAAATTTCTTGATTTGTATACTCGACGAAGTTTTATAAATGGCCATTATATGTTATTTATATAGATGTATGGTCATTACTATATCATTTTATTCTGGTATTACCTAAGTTGAACAAAGATATACAGAAAAAAAACATATTAATTTACATTACATTGCGTTGTTTATTTGTTGAGGAAGCATAAATATGAGTTATATTATGTGGACAACGATATCAGGAGCAGTACAGCCGACATGTTAACATCAGAGAGAATCCAGTTTGTCATTTATAATTCTAATAAATTGCCACAAATTGACAAAGAGGATGTATATAGGTGATATCATATACTTTTCTTTGTATATTTATTTGATCAAATACACAAAAAATGTTAAAAAAGAGGGTTGCACTTACCTTGAATATTGTAAAAAGATACAATTAAAATTACTATGTCGAAGTAAATGTGTTTCATCTTTTAGACGCCAAGTATTTAAATTGCACCCGTCTTTTTCTAAATCAATGTGTGTAGGTCAAGTACCTGTATATAAGTTCTGTAAATGTTTTTAAATAAGTAAACAAGGGTAAACAGTGTGTTTTAACTTTGAATTATCGTAATACAAATTCAAGTGAAACCTGGAAAAGATTTTCCTATTTGGAAGGATTATATATATTCTTTTTGCACAAAAAAAAAATCAAATAATACCGGTCAATTCCGAAAGCAAGACCTTTATTTTTACTATTGGTATTAGCTTTGAACTAGCTGTCAGTAACTGCAAATATTCTCAGATCAGTTCTTACTGTCTTTTTTATCATTGACTTTGATATATTTTCCCCCTTTTGACTAGAACATGGTGTTATTCACAAACAAAGCGGTAGCAAGATAATAAAAAAAGGTGCAGAACCTGTAATTCAGTGGTTGTCGTTTGTTGTTGTGTAACATTTTTTTGTTCTTTATTTTGTACATTAATTAAGCCATTTGTTTTCTCGTTTAAATGGTTTTACATTTGTCATTCATTGTCGTTTCCAGCTGACTATGCGGCATGATTTTTTCTCATTGTTGAAGGCCGTACGGCGGCTTTTTGAGAAAGAAACAAATTAATGGAATACAAAAACACAGAAAATAAAAAAAAAAAAAAAAAATACGACCAATATGTTAAATGTTTTCTCATCAATGTAAAAGTTCTAATTAATGGACCATTGACCCTTTCGTAAAACAAATCATCCTGGGCATTTTTATCATATACAACTTTAAGTTACTAGTACTCTTTTAAACACTTGATATCATACCATCATTTAACACAATCTAAAACAATCCAAAACAATAAGACTGAATTATTTTTTCAATGAAATAATGAGGTGATCAAAAAGAGGTCTGATTTGGTCTGAAATTGTTGTCCATTCGTTTGATGTGTTTAACATTTGATTTTGCCATTTGATTAGGGACTTTCCGTTTTGAATTTTCCTTGGAGTTAAGTATTTTTGTGATTTTACCTTTGCCTATGGTTCAAGATATCTTGGTTCCGATAATAAAAAGAAAACAAGCATTTCAGATCTTTAGGATGCTAGCACACCTATATACAAGGTGAAAAGAAAAAAAAAATAAGAAAAAACTCAAATGAAAATTCATAACGGAAAAACAATAAACAAATGGCAAAATCAAAAGCTCAAACACATCGATGTAACGGATAACAACTGTCATATTCCTGACTTGGTACATGCATTTTAATTTGTAGACAATGTCGGGTTAAACCTTGTTTTATAGCTACATGTAGCTAAACCAAGCATTTGTATGACAGTATTATGCAAGTCCTTTATTTTAATAACGATGTGTGAACAAAACAAACAGGTAGGTAAAAATGTCAAAAATAGGGGTACAGCAGTCAACATTGTGTTATACCCTCGAATGTTGGCCAGAAGTTATGTAAACAAAAGATATCAAAAGGACATTCAAACTCATAAGTCGAACATAAACTGACTATGATATTGTTAAAAATGAAAAAGACAAATAACAGTACCCAAATCATAACATAAATAACTAAAGACTCAGCAACACGAATCCCAACAATAAATTGGAATGATCTCAAGTGCTCTGGACGGGTAAGCAGATTCTGTTTAACACGTGTCAACCGTCGTGGTGCTCATGTAAGTACTTACCCATTGATTAGTACAATTATTTTGGTAACACTGGGAACAAAAGGGACGGGATTGTAGTTACGACAATTGAAACATACCAATCTAATTCAGTGTGTAACATTCGAAACACATTTAAACGAACGTGATTGTTGTTACGACAATTGGAACATGACAATCTTTGATTGTGAAACAGATATTCAATAATGGTCAACCAACTCGAGATGGTGTACCAAAAATTTACTGAAATAGGATTTCAACATCACCACTTAAAATTCTTGATTAAAGAGCCTTCTTTTGAGCAGCAACCATCTATCAAGGAAGTCATAAAGAGAAATACAAGCCCTGAAGTGGCGTTCTGAATTTACCACAATGTTCTTGCCTGAAAATTTTAAATGACTGACTAATGTTTTCGGCTGTTTCAGATCAAAATGACTGTTTCAGACTAGAAATACATTCCACATTCAGAATCTTTAAATTACTACACGCTTTTTTCCATGGATTTATCATTTTAGTCCATCAATACAAATATTTAATTTCGTTACTGTTCCACTAGTGTAGTTGAAAACAATAAATACGTCTAAATTCCACAAGTCAAGTAGAATACAAACTGAACAATTTTTCTGATTTAGATACGCATTTTGACAATAAATGTCTCTTGAGAGATGCCAGAGTCTAAAATATTTGAATATTCAAACTTCATTGCAATATATGAAGGTCTGATAAAGAATAAAAGGTATACCCTCTTTACAAACTATCCTATTGACAATGACAGGCAACTGACATCGGAAGTTTACTTTAATTTACTCAAATATGTTGATACAATCTTGACAAGTTTATTGGAGGCTATATCAAGCATAGATCATCTATCAAATAAAAAGTTTCAAGCAATGACAAGCAATGATAAGAAACATTCAGTGATGGAATTAATAAAATGTTTCTTAGGACACAACCGTCACCAATTTAATCCTTGTCATAAGAAATTCCAAACGTCAACATAAAATGAATGAGTATGATGCATGCATGGTAATGGGATTTTTTTTTCTTCTAGAATGTTTTTTAAGATGAGTACAACTGAAATGGAACTCATATAACAAGTCTTTATGATTCCTGGTTCTTTGTTATATTCCGTATTCTTCCATGTAGAAGCACACCAACTCAGAACAGGATATTACATATATATTGCACGTCAAGCTTTTCTATGGATTATGTATTCAATCTCAGCAACTGACCATCAATGCGTCATGATTGCACATATAAATGTTATGCTGTCGAAGACTGAAACAGAATCAGAATTATTTTGGCTATGACATGTTTGCGTCAAGTTGTTTTTAAATAATGGTTTCCATATCTTTTCAGATTTTTCCTGTTCTTTTTTGAAAATCATAAATAAGTTATCAAAATAAGAGCAAGAAAGTGAACAACCTATCGCATATAGACCTTTAAGTGAGTCGTCGTTCAAATCTAAAATAAGCAACAGTATTTTAACATTTTCATTTTTGTGAGAATATCTTTCGCTTATCGTGAAATTTCCTTTCTCTATTTATGTGGAGCTGCATCTGCTTACCCTTCAGGAACACCCGAGATCCGGGATCACCCCAAGTTTTTGATGGGATTCGTGTTGCTTAGTCTTTTGTTTTTTATGTTGTGTCTTGTGTACTATCATTTGTCTGTTTGTCTTTTTTTAGTTTAAACATATTTTATTGTTCAAAAATGACAAATGGATTAGACATTTTTGAACAATAAAATATGTTTAAACTAAAAAAAGACAAACAGACAAATGATCTTTTTTTGTTTTAGCCATGGCGTTGTCAGTTTATTTTCTATTGATGAGTTTGCATTTGCCTGTGGTATCTTTCGCCCCACTTTTATTAGAAAATGCCTTTCTCTACCAGCTTACAGTGGAATTAACTTATTCGATTGATCGCTATGGACAAAATGGTCATTGAATATCATAAGCAGTCTATGTACTTAGTTTATGCTAATATCTTCCGTCAATCATCAAAAGAAGACTTCCACTTCCAAATGAAAAATAATTGTTTATTTGCTCTTTTTTGTGTTGCCTTTGTTTTTAACTTTATCATAAATTAGCTAAACCGACAAAAGCGACTTTTCAAATACGTTAATGTTAATTTTTAATTCCTATATTATAGGTTTTTTAAAGAACCCACTACTCATCTTTATATTGAATTTCTTAAAAAACACAAACATCAGTTCAGTAGATAATAAAATATTTATTTTCTACTTAACTGATTTTTTTATGATTATACGAATCTGTGCATGACTTGATTGAACATTTTATTAATATATATTTATATATACACCTCAGCCATTTCGTCGAGAAGTTGAAGTCCTGGAGAAGTACTACAGATTCAGTTGGTGCTGACAAAATTTTGTTTGATTGACCATGATTAATACACTCTGAGTAAGGTGGAGGTGAGTCATTTTGTATATTATCATTGATCACATTTTCAGAGCTGGTTAAACTGGTATTTGTATAAGCAGGTGATGGGTAAGCTGGTATGGTTGTTTCACTGATAAAAAAATAAATACATAGATTGAAAGTAAATCCGTCACTGTAACCCAGATCAATTATAACGCTAACACATAATTTGCGCTGTTTTTCAAAACAGAATTTATTCCTGTCAATCTTTGACTATGAGTAGTAACATTACATTCAATAATTATCTTACATCACTGTTTTCATTTGTAAATTAGTTGACCATTCTTAAGGATGTACACCTCTGAAAAGCCAAACATTTCTAGAATTAAACTTTTTTTTCTAAACCTGATTTTTGGGTTTATAAGACTGTAAAAAAATGATTGGTGAAGAAAAAATCATATGGTTGTGCACTTCTTTATTTGCTACGGCCCTTTAAAAGTACCCAATGTTGATGGTTTTCTCAATTTTCCTCAATTTTTACCCATTTTTGGGCTATTATTATAAAAAAAATCACAATTCAACATTTAAACTTTTTTTCATACTTTCAATAAAGATGAAGTGGATCAATCTGAGTAGATTTAGCTTAAAAAAAACTATAGGTAGGTGTTAATATAAGAAAGTTTTATCATATTTTGATGTTTTTTTGCGTCAAATTACCATTCTGTCAATGTTGTCAATTTGTGATTTTCTCTGTTTTAAGAACAAAATGCATATTATTTTTATTCCTTTGTTATAAATGATTGAAAAAATACATATCTAAGAAATTTGAAAAGAAAAAAATGATATGGGATGTACATGTTTCTTCTAAAATCATTTCTTGTACCACTCACCCATTTTCTCAACATATTGGCTAAAAAGACTGACTTGATTGGTAAAAAAATTTAAAAAATTGATTACTCAAAAACTACTCAGTTTAAATACACATTTTGTTCTCAGAGTTAATTTTGATTATAACATTTTTTAAATTCATTGATATTTTCCACTTGTATCACATGTTTTGGAAATAATTCCAGAACGAGATTTCAACGAGACTGAAACGTCAGAAGAATACATCTTTAAGTCATCGAGATCGCATTTCACTTACAGGTTTTATTTACATGCGCTTGTAATATGTATAAACAATATAAAAAGTATAGGTATATATGATCATGGCTTCGTGCATTGAATCTAAATATTACATTAAGAGCTGAAACATAGAGCTTCTGTCTCTGTTCCACATGTTACGCCTCTCCTTGGTTAAATCATATTAATTACGTTTGTGTGTGTGCGAGTTCGTCATGATTTGAAGGTTCATTGTAAATTGTCAAACAATTAATAACGATTTCTTGTTCATAAGAGTTGCATAAACTTGTACTATCTTACTTATAATAAAACGTTTACAAGTTTGGTTTTACTTTGCCGCAAAAGGGGATTGTGTTGTGAATTTACCAATTTTAATATGCAGCAAATAAACAAGTCCGGTGACCCCATTTTTTTCTGTTTCTTATCTGAAGGCATGTTATAAGATCTATCTTCTTACATTAAATCTTAAAATTATTTGGTGTAGTTTTCTTTTTATCACACAAAATTGAATTTTCCATGCATAATCTTTACAAAATCTGACAATTATGCACAACCTGTAACGTGAAAACAGTCCTATGACCAATACTTTTGATTATATCTTGGAAAAAAAACATGATAAAAATTACAAATTGTAAAAAAATCTATACATTTTAATTAAGACCTTTATGACACGTACCTCCTACATTATATCCCGGATTACTTCGTGGCTCTCCATTGTTCCTGTCTATTTGGTTATTGGCGGAAGGTAACGGAATATTCCTTCTAAGTTGATTACTTTTTCGACGACGTCTCAAAAGCACAAAAATTATAAATGCAACAATGGTAAATATTGCTCCAGATGCAATTGAACCAACAACACCAATCCTTCTGTAATTATAATGGAAAAAAACAACACATTATTTTGTAATTCAAAGTCATATGATACCAGGATCTGCTTACCCTTCCGGAGCACCTGAGATCACCCCAGGTTCAACCCACCATTTTTTTCTTTAAATGTTCTGTACCAAGTCAGGAAAATGGCCATTGTTATATTATAGTTCGTTTCTGTGTGTGTTACATTTTAGTGTTGTGTTTCTGTTGTGTCGTAGTTCTCCTCTTATATTTAATGTGTTTCCCTCAGTTTTAGTTTGTAACCCGGATTTGTTTTTTCTCAATCGATTTATGAATTTCAAACAGCGGTATACTACTGTTGCCTTTATTTTTGGTGGGGTTCGTGTTGCTTAGTCTTCAATTTTCTATGTTGTGTATTGTGTTCTATTATTTGTCTTTTTTCTTTTTTAGCCATGACGTTGTCAGTTTATTTTCGATCTATGAGTTAAGACTTTCCCTCTGGCATTTTTTGCCCCTCTTCTTGAAATTGTAATGTAAGCGAAATTATTGAACCTTTGCATGCATATATATTAAACTTAGTCTTGTATGCACGTTTTATTTTATATCTACTACAAATCTAATACGTATTATCTACAAATTATATTTAATTCAGTGGTTGTTGGTCGCACGCTTATTTAATTTCGAGTTTGTTGCCGAAGTTTGCCAAATCGTGACATTGATAAAAAAATGAAAAGAGAGCACATGGAAAGCGGAGTGTCCAATGAAATGAATGAGATATAAGAAATGTGCATAAAGTACCAATACAAAATAACGAAATTAGGAATCTGTTTTTATCTAATTTAATATTCTTCAGTAGAAGTACCCTATATGCTCCTGTTACAGACGTATTTAAACTCTACGGACAAACGCTTCTTAGGTAAATTTACTTCAATAAATCAGACTTATTCGTTTGCAAATGATCTTCTTGGATCGACGATTAACTGATTTGATCTCATTTGTTTTGAATTTTACTAGGTTCTATTCACTAGTATGTACACAATAAATTTACTCACACGGACGCTTTGTTGCTATCTGATGAATATTCTTCCGTGTTGTCATATGGGTCTTGTGCTTGATATGGCCTATCTGTAAAATATCCTTCAGTAGTCGCGCTTCCTCTAGAAAAGAAAAAAAAATAGATTCTCAACAAATCAAAGTCATTTATGCATATGATACATAGATGTTTGAATTGTATTTATGTTATAACCCAAACACTTTTTAACTAGTTATAAAACCCTATCTGTTTGAGGTTTTGATTTTGCAATTTGATTTGGGACTTTTCGTTGTGATAACACTTGATTTCTGTTTTTTTTTTTTTTATTTATTGATAAAATTGATGCCAGTTGCAAATTAATACGAACAATATTAGTGTGATTTGAATTGAAGCGTTGCTTTGTACTGTCTTACTGAATGCGGAATTGTAAGGAAGCGATGCATGCATATAAAAAAACGCTTACTCTGTCGACAAACCAGGTTTTGCTACTTTTTGGTTCTTGGGATTCCCTCAGTTTTTGTTGTTTAGCTTGATTTGTATCGTCTTAATCGGTTTATGAGATTTGAACATCAGTGTACTACACTTTTAACTAGTCTATTGTGCTCGACCGAAATGCTAATTCAGATTTTAAACGTATTAAGGTGCAAAGTATCTGTACTTGTAAATAAATTCAACCATATAGCAGTTTCTAGTATTTGCTGTGACCGGGTCAGGAATTAAAACAACAGCATCCTTCACTCAAAGCTAGCAAGCTATATTTATATCAACCAAGGACCAGAGGTCGTGTTTTGCATATTATGAATACAAGTGTTAAAAAAAACCAACAAAACAAAAAACAAAAAAAAACAAGAGTTTAAATGTAAAATCACAAAAATACTGAACTCCGAGATAAATTCAAAACGGAAAGTCTCTAAACAGATGGCAAAATCAAAAGCACAAACACATCAAACGAATGGATAACAACTGTCATATGCCTGACTTGGTACAGGCATTTACTTATGTAGAAAATGGTGGATTGAACCTGGTTTTACAGCTAGCTAAACCTCTCACTTGTATGACAGTCGCATCGAATTCCATGTTATTGACAACGATGCGTGAACAAAACAGACATAATAGGTAAAAATGATAAAAATAGAGCAGTCAACATTGTGTTATTATCTTAATCACTTATAATATATACATACTGTCCAGTAGCTTCACAATTGTGATAGTATACATCATGAACACAAAACCAGGTGCTTTTCATTTTACAACATCGGTTGCAGTTTCTATACCACCTGTCACCAGGACAAGGTTGGTCATTACATTCATGTTTCATCCATGATGTTTCACATATTTCGGCTAAAATAAAAAATAAAACATCGTTAGAAAAATGAAATCAAAATCATTCGTGAAAAAAGGGAGATTTGTTTTCCTATTATACGTCACAAAATATTTCTTTTGACAAATATGTACTAGTATACAAGGTTTTTTTCATGGACGTTAAGTTTTCAATTTACAAGTGCAAATTAAATTATCTATTGAGTACTTCAAAACTATGGACTTAAAACTTTTTATATTACATTTTGACACAATCAAAATAATTGTTTTTAAATGTTATATAGTTCAATGTTGTGCTGTTATCTAAGATCGAGATGTTTTTACTCATTGTCATATACGACGATGAAAAAGATAGACTACTGGTCCAGAGTAAGATAAATTAAAATGAAGTATTTTTTACAGTGGAACCTTTGGAATAGTATAGATTCATTTGCCTTGTCTAGAACACACGGGATACTTTACATTTAAAGGAATTTTTTATTGCGGAAAACACACCAGTTCACTATATAATGCTTTCTGTAATTCCACCAATAATATGGCATCTTGGGTAAGAAAACTGAGGTTCAGTGAAGTTAATGAAAAAATGATGATGGATTTTGGTACCTATACCCAGTGGCAAATATCACATGAAATAGGTCACAATGTAAGAGTCTGCAGAAACACATGTAATAATACACGGATTTTGACTCCGAGACGACCAGTCTGCTATCATCTCTTTATACCGCATGCGTTTAGATACATACTTTCATGTCTTTAGGTTGCACGACCGTAAATAGAACACATAATTTCCCACAACTAAAGCGCTTACGCTACTACGACACCACTGATGCAAGTCTTGGGAAAAGAAGAACCCATTGTATTTATTCATGAGACAAATTCTAAATGCATGTTACGGTAATTTTACATCCGTTTTTGAACTTAACGACTCTGTAAGGCTTTCAAAGCCAGAAAACAAGTACCACAACACATTCATGTTTACTCATGGTGGCTTCTATCAACAGTTAAAAATGAATCATTTGCTAAATATAGAAAATGTTTAGATCTCAATAAGTCTTTTTACTTTGTGATAAGGAATATCAAAATTCGATCTTTGTGAAAGGAAGATAAGTATCTCTCTCTCCCTCTTAGAATGATGTATGATTGGTGTTTGCCTTATGCCTAAGGTAATATATTTCAAACTATTTTGCTTTTTTCTTTGAGAAGAAAAGATTCACATATACTACAAACATGAAGAATCTTTCAATTACTTTTTATTAATGATTCTTAACCGATTACAGGCATATCGTAATATCTTACATACAAGCGACATTATAAATAGAACACGTTGAATTTTGTAATATTACTTAAAACTCTATATCCGGTATTAGTAATCGGTCAAGTGGAAATTAACGATGGAGTCAAAATGCATCACACACAAAGCTTAATTCAAAACTTCAGAAAGCCTTGATTTGAATTTTCGACGAAATTTGAAAAATGGCCATTATGTTTTCAAAATTAAATGTTATGGTAAAGAGGAAGTAGATGGGCCAACATATACTTTTCCACGTTTTCTTTGAATACGAATTTCTATTAAATACGAGAAAAACTAATACAAAAGAGTTCCACTTACCTTGAATAGTGTCGATCAATACACATGATACAGTAAAAACTACTACGTCGAAGAAACTGTGTTTCATTTTTAAAACGTCAAGTATTTTACAAGCACTCGTTTATTTTCTAAATCGATGTATCTAGTTGAGCTACCTTTATATATTATTTTTTACAGTTCATTGCGTTTCTGAACAAGTACATAAGGTACCAGTCTTGTATTACAACTCCAGTTTCCGGTGCATGTCAAAACATGGCGTGAAATAAAATAGTCCATTTTTTTCTGAATTTTTTTCTGGACTCAATTTTTTCTGTTTGATTAAAACATGTAAAAGTTTATGCTGAGTTGAATCATTTATTTTAATTTAAAAAAAAATCTTGCATCTTTTTGGGGATATCAAACCAGGAAAGTGGAAGGATATCATGTTTACTGGAAGTGGTGCGGCCTAGTAAAAACAGCAAACACAAAGTAGAAAAAAATAGTTTTGACTTCAGGGTTACATAACTTTTTATTCTTCGTGGCATGACCCACATTTTTTTCGATTAAATCACAATTTCACATTACTGCATACATGATATGCACATGAAAAACATTTTCTATGTAGCATTTTATTTTAAAAAAATTTCAAAGATCAGCTGTTTTGCATGTAAACCTATGGGGCAGTCAATTACAAGACTGCAACTATAAGGGGTAAACAGTGATTGTATTAATAGCGTGCACAATGGTAGTGAAAATTACCGTGATCCCTGAAAAAAACTGATACTTTTTTGAAGGTTGATTCTGGGTAGATTTCACATGATAATATATTGTTTTGGGCACATCAAACAATCAAATTATATCGGTCGATTCGAAATGCACGATTTCAATTGACACACAGTTCATCTACATTGTAGCCTTAAAACGTCCATAAAACAGGTTATGACTGTATTGTATCTTTTATTCAATTTATGTTATATCTATATTAAAAAGCGAAATACTAAAAAAAAAAAAAAAAGTGAAGGGGAATAAAATCGATCATTCGTGTAAACACAATTTAATTAATGATAATAAGATAAACAGAAATAACTATGCACGCAGTATTCAACATGAGATTGACAGAGCGACAAAATTCTTAACCAAAACTTTTTTATTGTTGAAAAAAAATATATAGAATACAAAAACATCGCATACAACAACAAAAATATTAACATTGATATTCCTGATTTTATTATGTGTTTTTCTTATCAACTGTTATATATTTTCTTTTTTTCTTTACTTTAATGTGTAGAATTGATGTTTATTTTTATTCAGATTTTCAAGCGTAGTTGAAGTGATCTTAAGAAATCTTTGTTGCTTTAAGAGTTGTGGTTCTGCATCTTTATGTTATGATCTGTCAACTGGTTAGTTGATGGACAAGACACAAAACAAACACAAGTCGGACCAAGAAAACTTCGACCAACCTTGAAATAACTCGGATTATTTAAGAGGACAACTTTCAAAGACAACACACACATTTCAAAAAAGGTCGTGATTAAGATAACTCGTGATAAGGCCAATCAAAAAAGGTGAAGTCTATAAAATCTCACCTAATCAAAAGCTATCAATCAATAAAAATATAATATGTATTTGTCTCTGCAATTTGTAAATAGTTACACTAATAGCTTTAGATACTTTCAATAATTTGTAAATTCGGTTATTTTTTTCTTTCTTAAAAAGTAGTTTTTTTTCTCAGTCGATAATGAAACATAAAAATTATCTCGTTATGAATGATGTGTCATTTAGTTGATTAAAATCCGGTTCTGGATGATATCTTTGTTCATTAAAATATCAATACAAGATTTAAATCAATATTAATGTAAAATTAATTTATTAGATATGCCGACGTTTTTAATGAAACGTTAAAGTTTTCCATTGTTAAAAAATTGTTAAATCAGAAAATGAGTTCACAAATATCCGTGTACTTTAAACCGGAGTATTTTGATAGGGGATTTATACTGTGACCTTTGCGTTATTCAGGTTTGAATGAGAGGGTACTTCATTTCTGCTTTTTTAAAAAATTTGTAGATAATTTTTCTATATCGTTATACATAACGCTTATATATGATTTAAGTAATGATTTCCATAGATATAAGGTTTCTTTATTCTTTACATCCTTTTTTTCTGTGATTAATATTATATTACTTATACTAATTCATTTATTTTCCATGGTTATTCTTTATACTTTTACACCCAATTATTATCATTTCTTTATTTCATTTGCCCATTATTCTCCATTTATTCTATTTCTTTACCATTATTCACTATTCTGTAAACCCCATCTAGACCTTCAACATGTTCTTGTATATCAATAATTTAACTTCAGTTACTTATATCTGTTAAAAAAGGGGGAAATTAAACCCACGAGTCATAGAAAAAAACCTTCACCATGGTCAAAAGAAAAACTACGAAATTCAAACGAAAATCCCACAAAAACGACCAATCATGGTATGTTGGTAACGGTTTGATAATTAAGATGTGTAATGAATCATGATTAGGATAATTTGACGGATCACAATTTAAATTAAAAAAAGTTGACAATAACGATTGTCGAAAAATTACAATTTGTCGACTGACGATAATAACAAAAACGGTACTAATCAGGAATCAGAGCTTTGCATGAGGGAGATACATTCCTTAGTTTTAAATAATTTTAAAAATGTTGTAAAAGCAGATTGGAATAACACAAAAACCGTATAAAAGGCATTCCAACCAACTTGAAGATGTTGAAAGTCTACTAAGACCAATTACAGCTACATAGAACGATCTAGAATATGTAAAGATAAACATATAACCGTATTATATTTTATAAAAAAAAAGACCAATTACAGCAACATAGAACGATCTAGAATATGTTTCATTGCATACAAAAAATGTGTTGTTTTATTTTGTGTTATGGATGTATTTGTTCATTCGACTTTGTTTTCTGACCAATGTCAAAAATGCAATTAATCGACCATCGACCCTTTCGTAAAAGCAATTTTCATGGACACTTTTATCATAAACAACTTTAAGTTACTAGTATTATATTAAACATATGATATAAAACCATCAATTAACAAATACAGCAGCAATCAAAAACAATAAGACTAAATTATGAGATGATCAAATAGAGGTTAGAGATGTCTTCAAGGATCGTGGGATAAACCACCGACTTAGCAATTAAATGATGTCGTCTTTTGTAAAAAGCAGAAGGTGAGACCGACCCTCATTGTCAATTTTAAAATACAAGTCATGATACGAGGCAGACCTCACTGTATATGTTGTATCCTTTATCTCTAGTTCGATGGGATAGATGCGTTCACCATAATCATCAAATTTTGAATTATTTAGTTAGAGAACATCATCTATATAGCTGAAAGTAAAGTAATAGGATATTGCTAACTTCTTTTCTTTCTTCCTAAAAGGTTCCTGTAAGAAGTCAGCCCAATAAAAATAAAGGTACAAGTCGGCAAGAAGAGGGGCAAAATTGTTTTCAATGGAAATGCCGATAGTTTGTTAAAAAAAACGTCCTCGAAACGTAACAAATAGGTAGTAAAATTAAGAAATCGAGCATCTTGATAATGTCAGTTTCAGAGATTTTTTTGTTTGAATCAGAGACAAGTAAAAATTGTCCCTCTCTAAGTCAAAATTCTTGTATCTGCGTTGGCCATTCTTTTTTATGAAACAAAGCAATACCAACTCTTTGAATTTATCTTTTAGTTTAGAATGGGGAATACTTGTGTAAAGTGTAAAAAAGCGAAATGTTTTGATACTATTGCAAGATGAAAGAGTCTTAGATTGTATGTACTCTAAAACATCTTTGAAATTTTTAGTATTCACATCTGATTCACAAAGATGACACAGAAATTAACAACGATAGGTCACCATACGGCCTTCAACAATCAGAAAACCCGATATATGTATCGTAAAGAGATTTCATTATTCCCAAATGTTTGTTTATGATGAGTTCAACGATGCAATAATTTTAACTGTTATAAATACGATGGGACTCATATCACAAGTCGTTGTGATTCCCAGTTCTGTGTCAAATTCCATATTTTGCCATGTAGAACCACACGAATTCAGAACAGGATATCATATAAATAATCCACGTCATGCCAATCAATTAAAACTATATGTATTATCGGCAACCGACTCTCAATGCGTCATTATGGAACTCACAAATGTGATGCTTGCGAATACTGAAACAGATAAATCAGAATAAATTTGCATCCATGCGTCAAATTGCTTCTAAAGAGTCATTTCAATTGTTCTAGTGATCTTTGTTTTTTAATAGATTGAATTAAGATATAAAAAAAAAACTGAAACATAGTTAAGTAAATATCGTTCAAATTTGAAACAAGCATCATAGTGTTTAAAAGTTTTAGTTTCATGATAGTATGTTTTGTAATACCAATTCCTTGTACTTGTTTGGTTGAAAATATCATAAACAGAGGATCAACAGCCCATGTGCTTGAAGACTAACCACATCCAATTGGTTAAGAAAACTGTTTCCTAGCTTTGCCTCGTCTCATCTAATATACGGCTTTTCTACCGTCCCTTCGAACCGAAAGAAGCAACTATTCAAATATAGTGCTGTTAATCCTTAATCATAATGTAAGTAATCTTTTTTTTTGCCCACATCTCTCCTTATAGAAATCGATTATTATGCATTGTTTTTATTATGTAGATATAAGAAGATGTGATATGAGTGCTAATAAAACAACTCTCCATCCATGTCACAATTTATAAAAGTAAACCATCATAGGTCAAAGTACGGTATTCAACGCGGAGCATTGGCTCACATATATCTATGTACCTCATATATGAAGATGTGGTATGAGTGCCAAAGAGACAACTCTCAATTCAAGTCACAAACTGTAAAATTGAACCATAACAGGTCAAAGAACGGTCTTCAACACGGAGCATTGGCACACATATATCTATTTACCTCAGCGTTTTTGCTGAGATGTTGAATTTCTGGAGAATGTACTGCAGAGTCAGATGGTGCTGACAAAACTCTTCCTGATTGATTAGAAACAACACACGTTGAGTAAGGTGGCGGTGTAGCATATTCCGGATTACTATTGGTCACATTTTGGTTGCTAGTGAAACTTACATTTGTATAACCATGTGGCGAGTTAGGCACTATGGTTGTTCCTCTCTCTGTTAATGGAAACAAATTAATACTTAAACTTAAAGTTAACGTTCCGCTATGATATACCTTAAATGTAAATCAAAATAAAGATAGAAAATTCATGCTGATTTGCTTAATGGAATATATTCTTATTCATTTTTCGCAATGAGCAGTAACCGCCCATGTATCTAAATAATCAAGAGTTTGGCCATGATTATGTCATTTAAACGCTGCCATGCATGTATAATAAGAATTGTTTTTATCAAAGATGGATGCAAATTATATTCTATTAGTTTTAATAAAGGGATAACACTTGATCAAACCCTGTTTTTGGTTAAGTTCGTGAGTTTAAATTTCTATTCTGTGTTTTTATACATGGTATACTGCTGTTTGTCTCTCAGTCGTTTTTCTTTTTGTCCATGAAAAGTATAAAAAATACAAAAATACCATACTTCAAGAAAAATTCAGCTCAAACGGCAAAACTAAAAGCTCAAACAAGTGAAACAAATGCAAGACTACAGTCATATTCCTGACTTGGTACCGGTATTTCCCTATGTCAAAAATTGTGGATTAAAACCTGGTTTTTAAGCTAGCTAATATTTTACTTTTATTGACAGTGCCTTAGAATTCTATTATATTGACAACAATGTGTGAGCAAAATAAACAGACATAAAAGCTACAAAATGCTTTTGCGTTTGAATATCCCCTTAGAATCTTTCAACTCTTTATTGCTATGTTTATCATATGTCTAGAAAAAAGTAAAATCACAAAAATACTGAACTCCGAGGAAAATTCAACATTCATTGCTTCGCGTGTTTGACGTCAGAAAATTTAAACGTCCAATTTTTAAAACAATTATGGATTAATATTCAGCGCCTGTCAAGCAGCCTATGCTTTGCTCTACATCACAAGAGAACAAGTGTATTACTATAAAGACTGTTCTTATAGTTTTCCAAGTTAAAAGAGACATATAGTACAATGATTCTTTTTTTTAGTGTGGTATAGATGATAATGACATTTAGAGATTTAAACTGATGGTAGATTTCAATATTTTTAACAAACCAGTCAGGTGGTCATAATTAACGCTTATATGATAGGTGATAATTTTACACTTTCTTTTTAGATTTTAAATGTTTACTTGTCGCTAAGTCATAAGTACAGTTAACTGTGTTAAATTATTTAAAACCTTAAATTTAAGTATTAATGAGTCTGTAAGAAGGTTCTCTTGATAGGGGTATACTACATGTAAGAGCATGGGTTAGGACTTTAAATTTGCATCCTACGAGTATGCATAAGTATAAGAAAGAAGAAATAGACATTTGCTGACATGAGCAAGTTTTACAGTCAATGTGCATTGTGGATACATGTATATATATTCTATTGATGAGGAAAGAGACAATAGTGAGATAAAGGACAAAATGACAGTTGATAAATCTATCAAGTTTTAGATTTTAATATATGACTGTATATACAGTCTGAATACTTTTAAATAATTGTGGTGGCGGTGTATATAAGTGTATAAAGAAGAAGATTTAAATTCGAATGTGAACATTCAATAAATACACATGTAGGATAAGGTATTCTACACTTCAAGAGGACTTACCAACTGAAGTCGTTCATCTGGAAAAGGTGGAATATACAGAATAGGTAACAGGTAACAGGTAACACACAGGAAGAAATATAGAATAATTTTGTCGTTCAAAGTATTTTCAAACAAATTATCATTTCACAAGAGGAATGGTGGTATACAGGGTTAAAAAATCAAAAGTTTTGTTAGAACTAATTTCAGAAAAAGACCGAGATTTAAATTTATCAAGAAGTTCTTTAGAATTTTTAAGAATCCAAAAATGGTTAATACCACTACGCGAGTAAAATAATTTTGTCGTTCAAAGTATTTTCAAAACTATAATAGAACAATAACATAAACAAATGTATTTATACTTATGTATGAACCATACCTCCTACATAATATATTAGATTTTCTCGTGCCTGTCCACTATTCCCAGCTATCAGCAAGTTGGGGGCAGTGATTGGGACATTCCTTCTTATGTGATCACGTTTTCATCTTTGTTTCAAAACCACAAAAATCACACACAAAACAAAAATGCCCACTGCTCAAAATGCAACTGAAGCACCAACAGCAATGCTTCTGTAATTAGAATGAAAAAAAAACTTTTATTGTAATCTAAGTATAAATACCTCTGTGTTGTATCTACAAATTAAAAGCGAAGCTTATTTGTGAGTTAGTCATCAGTGTAAACATTATTTTATTCAAACTTTTTTTTTTGATTCAAAGAACCTTTTATGTTCTTCAAGATACTTATTGAAGTTCTACGAGAAACATGTCTCACAAAATCCGACTTTTTCACTTGAAAATTGTGGATGAGAAATCCATAGACTGACAAATAAACCGATCTCACTTTATTTGTTCAGATTTGAACAAGCTTTTTTTCATCAGTCTATACATGTACATGTAAAACATAACTTACACGACTGCCGTCCTGCTGTTAGATGAATAGTTGCCTGTGTTGTCATTTGGTTTGTGTGTTGGATATGGTCTATCGGTTGAATATCTTTTCGTAGTTGATGTAAAACCTCCGATAGGACGTTGTGTAGTTGTTGTAGTCACGCTCCCTCTAGAAACAAAATATAAATAGATCCCAAATAAAAACGGCATATGTATATGATAAATAGTTGTAGGAAATATATTCCTGATGGTCCTTTCATTTCAGGGTATACCATTTTTATTTACGCAGGGGGGAATTACGGAAACATGGGACCATGCTTCATTTATTGTAAAGAGTAAACGTTTGCTCCATATTCAGGGGCTGTCTATGACTTAAAGACGACGAACAGCAATTTAAACATCATCTGTTTGCACTTATGTTCGGAAAATGTATTTTAAGAAGGGATCAGGGGTTAATATAAACACATGAATGAAATACAAAAGTAATTGATAAAAATATATATAAAGTATCAAATGTAATGGAATACTTGATTACAGTATAAAATGTAATGGAATACACGAATAAAGTATAAAATGTAATGGAATACTTGAATAAAGTATAAAATGTACTGGAGTATATAAGTATGAAAAAAAATATTTATAAAAGTATAAAGTGTAAAAGAATACACGAATAAAGTATAAGATGTAATGGGGTATATAAGTAATAAAAAATTATGAAATACATGAACGTGTATAAAATGTTATGGATGACATAAATAAAGTGGAAACCGTGCACAATGACATTTTCTCAGTATCTTCTAGGAGCAAATACAAGAAACCAAATATATCACATTTTACTAAGACGGTACTCTGGAACAGATAGTAACCAATGCACTTTGACAACATAAAAGCAACGTCAAATAATAATAAAGTAAGCTCTAAAACACAACTTAAAAATGATTGCAACGTTCTATATCAAGGGAGCAGTTTCTATTTTCCGAGATAATGAATAAAAAAGGTAATAACATTTCGATTGAGCAAAGCAAATAATAAAATATGATGGGTTATTCAATTCAATACGCGGAATTATATTCATTTGTACTTACACGAACGAACATCACGAGTGTCAACTATGGAGCAGGATCTGCCTGCATGTATTTCGGGAGTACCTGATACCCACCCCTCCCCAGTTTTTGATTTGATATGGGTTGCTTATTAATCGTTAGTTTATGTTTTGCATACTGTTGTTTTTCTTTTGATCGTTTTCCTTTTTTAGCCATATGCATGGTGTTGTCCGTTTGGTTTCGACTTATGAGTTTGAATATTCTTTTGTTATCAGTTGTCGCCCTGCATACTTGAAATATAGAGAAGGAAACTTGCTCTTTAGAATAAAAGTAAAAAGAGGAACTGAATGTCTACTTCGTTAAAATCTTTGACACGGCTAACATGAAAAACGTTTATATAAGAAAGGCTTAACAAGGCTCCATGTCTGATAGAAACATATAATATATTTGCTATAATAATAATATAAATTTTAATGCACACAACATGCATCTTCTAATAACGTGTATATATATTCTAAATATAGGCATTTCTATCACGTGATATCACGTGATATCACTTAAGTCACTATTTTTGATAGATTGACGGACTGCTGTTTGACGTCAAGTGACAATTATTACATCAAGACACACAATGTTATAAATTTCAATATAATTGGAATATTAACTTGTTTTTTGTATTTTTGACTCAATGTTGATTTGACTGGCAGGTGGTGCATAAAATTTACAGGAGACGCTTATCTTGTCGACAAATCAGAGTGGAGATTTGTATTTACCTTGGTTCGTATCGTCTTAATTGCTGATATTTGAACATTGGTAAAATAATGTTGTTTATTGTGAAAGACCAGCATGCTTAAGGATGTTCGCTATTCTGTTTCAAAATAAAGCTTTTTTAAAAGCTGTTATAAATAGATAGTATATAAATAAAGGAACTAAAAAAGCTGAAAAAAATGAAGGGTCCGTGTGCTTGTTTTTGAGATATAAGCCATTAAAAATTTGGAGGGAGATGATTCTCTCTAGATTTTCATACTTTTAACATTGTCCGCTTTTCTCGTTAAAAAACTATAAAAAAATAACATGGATTTTATAAGATTTTCAAATATGGCTTTTGAAACTATATGAAATAAAATTATGAAAAGAAAAGTAGGGGTTAGTGGTCAAAATTATTTAATGGCAACACATGTATAAAACAAGAGGATTCCGGAAATCTTGCAAAAATCAAAATCAAGAAGAGCGAACATCCTTAACCGGATTTTTAACATGCTAATGTGCAAATTAAATGTCCCTGGGAAGACACTTAATCTAATGCCCGGCTGATTATTTTGATTCTTGGAGTCGGGAGTGAAGCTACGACTTCGCCCAAAACATTTTCAAGCGTTGCATTGACCTGTCCAGTAAAAAGAAAAATCACAAAAATACTGAACTCCGAGGAAAATTCAAAAAGGAAAGTCCCTAATCAAATGGCAAAATCAAAAGATAAAACACACTAAACGAATAGACAACAACTGTCATATTCCTGAATTGGTACAGGCATTTTCTTATGTAGAAAATGGTGCATTGAACCTGGTTTTATAGCGCTAAACCTCTCACTTGTATGACATTCGCATCAAATTCCATTATATTGACAAAAACAGACATAATAGGTAAAATTGCCAAAATATGGGTACAGCAGTCATCACCTTGTCACAATCTCAATCACAACAAAAACAAAACCAGAACATACATCATGAAATGCTTAACAACAACGGTCGAGTGTCTTTTTTCCCTCATCATAGATACAAGTACAGATTTCAACATTTAGATAAATACAATTATATACTTACTGACCAGTAGCTTCACATGTGTGATAATTTTTTATTTAGAAAACGTAAACAAGAGTAAAAAGTGTGTTTGTATTTTTACTGCGCAAATTTTGCAATACAAAAAACGGGTTTTAATTAGCAAAGCCGTTCCTTTCGGAAGAATCATTTTTCATATATTTCAGAGTTATATATATTCATACATTCAGTTTAGATAATTAAATTATATATTTAAATACAAGAATTTAGTCCATTCAAAGATAATAGTTACAATTTGAATCCGTAAAACAGTTCTTACTGTGATTTTATGATCAAATCTATGTTCTTACTAAAATTGCAAAACCTCAAAAACTTTCAAAAGTGAATAAAATCAATCATTTGTTAAAGCAATATTGTATTTATAGTAGATGATGATAAAGAAAAATAATGATTCAGTGTACATCATTCTTCACATACAGTAACACAAATTGAAAAAGAAAACAATTAGTGAGATGTATATAGACATATCGAAAATATGTGTTTGACATTAGCGCAGAAAATATAAAAAAAAACATTATTAGATAATAGATATTATCAGTATTATTATATTATTTCTTAGTAAAAATGAAACACAAACAGATTTTCTTGTTAGCTCGTTTCATTTTTGCTAAATTAATGTGCTTTGTCTATATGCCTTTTTTTGTTACATATTTGTTTGTTTTTATAGTTATTAAAATTATAACACAGTGTTGACTACTGTACCCCTATTTTCAACATTTTTACCAATTATATAAAAAAGAAGATGTGGTATGATTGCTAATGAGACAATCTCCACAAGAGACAAAATGACACATAAATTAACAACTATAGGTCCCCGTTCGGTCTTCAACTATACCGCATAGTCAGCTATATAAGGCCTCGAAATGACGAACGCAAAACAATTCAAACGAGAAAACTAACGGCCTAATTTATGTACAAAACAATGAACAAAAAACAAATAGAAAACACATCAACAAACGACAACCACTAAATTACAGGCTCCTAACTTGGGACAGACACATACATACAGAATGTTGTTGGGTTACACATGTTAGCGAGATTATATGTCTGTTTATTATAAACACAGATCCATGTTAATATAATGGAATTGTATGCGACTGTCATACAAGTGAGAGGTTCAGCTAGCTATAAAACCAGGTTCAATCCACCATTGTTTGCATAAAAAATGCCTGTTCCAAGTCAGGAACATGACAGTTGTCATCTATTCGTTTGATGCTTTTGATGTGTCATACGATTACAGACTGTCCGTTTTGATTTATTTTACTTTTCTTAAAAAGCTGAGACATTTTCAAATATGCAAAATATGTATTTAACTGTTCCGTAATTTAGCAAACCTTAAAAGCCTGTTGCGATTCCTCTTTGCGAGGTCAAATATCCCTTTTGTTCGCAAAATGATTTTGCATACATCATGTACATTTAAAAAACACCTTTTTTATATTCTCTTCTCTCAAAATCAGCCCTAATGGTTTAGCTTAGCCCCTTGTTTAAAATCAAAACAGATCCAAAATCACTTGACAAAGATGTTTTGTTTACACACTTTTTGGAGTTCCTCAACTTTAGATGCATAAGGAATATCGATCATATAGGTGAAGTTCGTTTCCATACAGGGACAGGGGGAGGGGGGCAGATGGAAATGTCATACCTAATTCCCGGAAAATAAACGCTGATTCGCGAATTTCAGAATAAAAAAAGATGCTGCTTCCCTGGAACCCTGGAAGATTATCGTTAATTCTCGAAACTCAATAGATGTAGAATCCTGCAAAAAATAAAAGCTTAAGTTCGGCGTCCCGAAAAAAGGTTCTTCCGTGTGTAGCTGTGAATTAGTTTAAAGATAGAACATAAATACATTTATCAGAGATAAATTATACATGGTAACTATATGTTACAAACTTCGCAATAGGTATATATTGAAATAAATGGCAGTAGTAGTACAATGATGTTAATAAAATATGACTTAATTTTAAACAACAAACTTAGAAATATAGCTACATAAAAGCAGATCCTAAATCATCAATACATGTAAAAATCAAACGAACAGGAATATTCTACCTCTTAAAATCAATTTTTTATTCAACACGTTCAACAATTAAGAAGTGTTTAAATGAAATAGATATCGTCAAACACCTTGACCGAGTACACATAGGCAAGCTTAAATAACAGAGAAGACAACTTTTGCAACAATTTAAAATTAAATGAATAAACCGCATCAATAATTGGTAGTCATATTATATTTTAGAACGACATAAAATCAATACAAATGTATGTAACAAATAAAATAAAGTAGACATTTTTTTTAACTTTTTAAAACTAACAGATTGAACCTTACATCACTGTCTGTCTAATACAAAATATAATTTTAAATTCTAAATCGTGTAAAACATTTTTATATACTATTTAACAGCCTTTATATCTGTTCGTTTTGATACGAATACCCTTTACACATCAAAATATTAATAAGCACTTTAAAAAATGTTAATCGGTTACACAAAAAGGATTGGATTTACATAGGCCATTATAAAACATGAATGTATATTTGCATTGGTGCGTGTGACTAGTTCTATTCAATAACATGAAATTCATTAAATCTCTTGTGCGTGCAGATTCACCTTCACCTAAAAGGTAAACACAAATATTTAAAAGGCAATATATACGTTCATTTCGTGGTAGCAGTTTTATATAGATTTTTAAGTAAAATTTTGTGACCGAAATATCTTTAATTTCCTCCCGTTGAAACCAGGTTTAATCAACCATTTTTTGCATAAGAAAATGTCTGTACCAAGTCAGGAATATGACAGCTGATATCCATTCATTTGATGAGTATGAGCTTTTGATTATTTTTTTTTGTCCATTTTCATCGATGATGTCTGCTTCAGTTGTATATCATATTTTCAATTGCCTCATTGATATCTTATTTTTTCCATTTCAGCGTTTTTGGTAAAGTTTAGAGTTTATATACTGCGGATTCATTTATTTTCGTGGGTAACAATTTTCGTGGATTGAGGAAATCTTGCATCTTCGTGGATATTTGATTTCGTGGTTTTGTCAAAGTCTATATACAACATAATAGCAAATGTGTACTTTAATGAACATTTAAATTCGTGGTTCACTTGTACCAATGAAATCCACGAAAATTGGTATCTCACGAACAATAATGAATCAACAGTAGTGTATGTTATTGTTTTACACTTTTCTGTAGGAACATAGAGTTAATACTGCTATCTATTATTTGTTGACTATTTCCTTTTGCTTTTGAATTTTTGATATCTCCCGTTTAACAATTTATGTCATATTCGGTGGATTGTTAACTATCAATTGCTAGAGTTAAGAATATAAGCTTTTGCAGAAGAAGAAATACATCATGCATTTTCCACGAATCTTCATATTCGGTGGATTGTTAACTATCAATTGCTAGAGTTAAGAATATAAGCTTTCGCAGAAGAGGAAATACAACATGCATTTTCCACGAATCTTCATATTCGGTGGATTGTTAACTATCAATTGCTAGAGTTTAGAATATAAGCTTTCGCAGAAGAAGAAATGCATCATACATTTTCCACGAATCTTCATATTCGGTGGATTGTTAACTATCAATTGTTAGTTAAGAATATAAGCTTTCGCAGAAGGAGAAAAACATCATGCATTTTCCACGAATCTTCATATGTGAAATCTTTGCCAAAAATGGTGACAAATCATCACGCCGGTTCAATTTGAATGAAGTTATTATTCTTATTCTCGGAAACTCTGTCATCCGTTAAAGAGCAGTATAAAGACGAAGTGCATACACCAAAGACTTTACATAAATTGCAAGTATATGTTTAAACTGAATTAGATAAGCACGAAATTCAGTAATGTTTTTGATTATTTTAGTGTATCATCAAATAATGTGACACTTTATCGATTTTATTAAGACATAGGTAAGTAAGATTTTATTATTATAATATCATGTAGAAGATAAAATCAGGATTTTAGTGATTGACGCGTTAACAGACAATGTAAATACAACACGTAACTACTGAAGTGAGAAGTTGTTATAAATATCTTCACCGTCAGATTAATTATACTGTATTTCAAAAGAATTAATATACAAACAAATCTTGTTTGAAACTTTCTGTAACCTCGTGCTAGTTTCTATGAATGAATTAACAAAAATAAGAGAAAATAAAAAAACATTCAACTTGGAAAAATGTTATTTTTTGTACTCTATATAAACTAGAACATATTGCACATTTATCAAAGAAGATTATCTAGCGATTCATGGATTTTTCTTGTTTATTTTTATATCAACACATGTACATATTTGTGTATATTGTAATATTTCCAAACATATATAAGTTTCAGTGGTTGTCGTTTGTTGATGTGGTTCATAAGTGATTTTTATATAAGATTAGACTGTTGGTTTTCCTGTTTGAATGGTTTTACACTTGTCATTTTGTGGGGCCCTTTATATCTTTCTGTTCGGTGTGAGGCTCAGTGTTGAAGACCGTACTTTGACCTATATTGGTTTGGATTTTCCTCGGAGGGCAGTATTTTTGTGATTTTACTTTTTACTTTTACAAATTGTGACTTGGATGGAGAGTTGTCTCATTGGCACTCATACCACATCCTCGTATCTATATATACAAGTCTAAAGTACAATATTATCGTTGTTGCAATCATTTCTTCATTATCAAAATGCAAAAGCATATTCCTCTACACATATTTAGAGGGTATTTCTACTTGCATTGAATGAAGAGGTTGACTTTTTTTTATTACTTCCAGTATTATTGTAGAATGATAACGGACACTATCATTGTTCGGTTATAAAAACGTTTATATTTACTTATCAAAACTTGATTTACTCACCATAACATTGATGTACAAAACAATGAACCAATTCTAAAACTCAATTCTGTACTCTTGAAATATACTATACAAAATTGACAACGGAACCTATTATTTATGTTCTAGTATCGCACAAATATTTTGTACATCTCTTATCCAAGATAATTTTAAAAAAAACATTCAAATGATACAGTTAATATTCAATGTAAATTTAGTTATTCAACACCGGATTAATTTCCGAATTGAGACTCATTATGTTTACGCTTTTCTTTATAAAAGTTATTGTATTGTTACGTCAACACAACTGTAAAAACACTAGCAAAATCATCAATGCCATTAAAGGTATACATACCGTCATAATCTATTTGGTTTAATTAACGTACACATAAATATTATGCGTGTACAAACAGTTATGTGTGGTATTAAATGAGCTATCCACCAGAGACTCAATGGCGTATATTTAATCCTCAAAAGGTCACAATAGAGATTTCCAATAACTCGACGTATGGACCTAATGGGACTGATTATTGCCAACCATTGAATTTGTTAAATACGTTGCTCACTTTCAAACAAAGTATTCCAAGATTTTCAAAATTACACACTGAAATTTTCGTCCATATAAAATAATTTTATCATGAAAAAAATGATAGAAATCTAACATTTTAATTTTTATCACATGGTTTTCTAGATTCCCGCTTTTATTATCACTGACATAAGATAACGTATAAACACACTTATCCCCGGCTTAGTATATTTCTAGGATTTTGATTGGTTAACGCACGTCGTTACAAAACCCATAGCCCCTGGGTTTTGCTAACCCATATACCCGGACGTTGCTACCCATTACAACGGGGAACATCACGCGCGTTTTCCTTAGTTCCATGGTTGTTCCTTGTGAAATATCGAAATCTGTAGATTATCCATGATGTCTGAAATTAAATATTTAATCAACTAACGATTTTATCTTATTATGTCGATCATTTGCACTCATTTTAGTAAATGCATCACTTGGCTGCCACATTGTCATTGAATTGGACTACTGACCTAGCTATGCAAATGACCCACGTTGACGTCACACCGTCTATGATGTAACTCTCACAACATTGAGCGCCAAATTCGACCCATTCCCGTTTCTCTGTCTCTGGATTTAAAACGTCTTATATTTGACTACCTGTAGGGTTCTACCACAGGTAGTACCCTACACCCCGTTAAAAATATGTCAAATTCCCAAATTTCAATAAAAGATTTTTAAAAAATGAAAAAAACGTTGCTTTCACGTTACATTTTGTGGTTGAATTTCTCTAAAAATCGCAAGATTTGGACTAAGACCGGGGATAAATTCGTTATCTACGTTCATTTCCGTAGATATGGATATTTTAACACCCTTCAGTACCCTGTACACCCTTCGGCTTCGCCTCAGGGTGTACTTGGATACTTCAGGGTGTTAAAATATCCATCTCTACGGATATGAACGTAGATAACTTATAGTATCCCATACGTATCATACGTACGATTTGAGTTATCTTTCATGGTTTTGAATATGACAATTATTTTTCAATATACTTTGCAAGTGAACGCCCCATCATAACTTTTTTACTGTCTTTCTTTATAGTTTATCTTCTTTTAAGTATATTTGTTGTCAGAAAAATCGAAACAAAAGTTTGTCAGAATCTGCCTCTCTATAAAAGTTGAAAATTGAGAAAGAAAACCAATCGCTTCCGTTAATTTCTAATCAAAAGTAATTTCATTTGATATAAAATGTATTGATTAACAAAATCCCTACATATGCTGGTTTTTTTTTTTTTGGAATTAAGGTGTGTTCGATTAGGGATTGTTCTGTACTACTTTGTATAACAGGAATTTTTGCCATTTGATTAGGGACTTTCCCTTTTGAATTTTCCTCAGAGTTCAGTATTTTTGTGATTTTACTTCTTATGCTATCGGAGTCCAAATACAAATGACATTTCGAGGCAATTTTTTAAGTATCCCTTGAAGTAAATTACATGTAACTTATAGTATTTTATTCATGTTATTGATAAACAATTAAAAGGGGGATCACCGAATTCATTGTACTGAATAAATCATTAACGGAAATATGCAAGGTAAGTAACATTGAACAATATATTATAATAAGATATCGTTGCTAGATGCTATTCCTGGATTTTGAAAGGGGGAGGGGTATAGGTAACGTTAGAAGTGGAACACAAATAGAAGTATTAATAGGATGTAGGGCCATATTTATAAGGTTCGTTGCATATGTATTTTACATATCCATATTTAGGACGAGAAGATGAATATGAACCATGCTTTGTATTATACCGCAGTAAGACATGCCATCCTACTCGGACACATACTTTTGACCCCAAACCAACCAATCTTTGCTCTAACTGATAAATATTGCGTGTTTGGCAGATAGGCAGCCAATCCTTGATTTAAAACGGGCGAGGATCAAGCCCAAGACTTCCCGCACTCGAGCAGTGATGTAGCTTTGATTGACGCAATGAGACAACCGCCTCACCAAAATTTTGACCATTAAAAAAGAGAGATGAAGAGAATTATATACTATGTAGGTCATAGTATAAAGTTTACTGAGTGACGACTGTTGAAAACGTTGACTTCTTTATTCTTTACTCACCCATTCCTTATTATTAATGTCTTAAAAACTTTCTTTCATAAAATGAACAAGTTAGATGCAAATATCTGTTTTTACGTAAAAGACAAAGTTTCGCAAAAAACTGATTCATTCAAGAAATCATAACTGTAAAATTGATATAATGCTTGATTTTTGTTTTTGAAAACGGCCCTTCTACTTTTGGTGGAAAAAGTTTTCAACAGACACTTGGCATTCCTACATTTGATGTAGTACTCTTCTAACTTGGAATATATCAGCAAGACTTCAAAGTTCATCCAGGTATTATTGTCCATACATTTGGACAAAATATAAACGTATAAAGTTAAAAGACATAGTGGATCTTAAACTTAATATCCCCAAATCTGTACAAAAGTATTATAGTGGAGGCCATACATATAATTATGTCAATTAGTTTTGTTTTGATCAGGACCTGAATACTGAGAATTAAACCTTTAACCAGCAGTTTCATTGAAATATATTGTTTAAATGCGCACTAAAAATGTTATTTCAGGATGAAGTTGCAAGTATCTGGATTTTTCATAGACGTCGATTCCCTATTGGCATTGACGTCTTTTAACAAAACGAGGCTTTGACTGCCAAGACTCAGATCATTTGCCTCGCCAGAAATAAAATTCAAGTTACGATACTGTCGATTGATTGATAATTGGTTGCTTAACGTCCAGTGGCAAATATTTCATGCATAATTAACGTGCAGAGAGCCTGTCATTCTCTCTACAAGATGCATCTCATTAAACGTCCCCACTCTGACCGGAAGGGACTGCGTACTTGTACATCCCGCACAATCAAACGGAATCCCCTCTTTTGCAATGGTAACTGCCGATCGGAACAAGACCATTAGTGACCATATTTCTATTCCCCCGATCATCTGTCAAACTCTAATTTGGTATATAAATTTAAGCGTTTTATATTTTGAACAGAACGGAAGAACGGACGGATGCACAGACCAGTAAATATAATACCCCTTTGCTATCATAAGTTGATCATAAAACTAACATTATCATCCTACTTAACAAACCTTCAAGCATGTCCGTTTTTCATACGTATTTGTATAAGTTAAACGACAAACATTTTAGAAAAACAATTTAAGAGCAATGACGTTAAATTACGCATACGTTTGTACGGGCTTTTCTTATAATCCATGCATTATTATAATTAAAGACAAGATATAAAAAAACTGATCCAGTAAAGTCATATTTTTACTTGAAGATGCGTCCTCATATATTCCATTTAAATCAAATTCTACAAAAAGGTGACAAAGTACTATCAGAAAGATTCATCAGTGATCTGAATTTTACCTATGGCAAAAGTATCTTGAGATAAAATATAGAAGTATGCAAAAACAAAAAGAAGAAGAAGCAAGTCGTGTACACCTTTTACTTTCCGGCGTGTTTGAAATTGTTGTTTAATCTTATAACTTTGAAATAAAAAATGAGAATATGATCTCGCTTCAGATTCCATTATTTTTAGTTTGTCAAACTTAAATTTGATTTAGTAGCTTAAGAATTTTATCGTTTGGGAAATAAATATATGTGTCAAGTGAATTGAAGTAATGATCGGTGCAATTGATTACCAGTAACTGAACTAAATATTTCCTTTAAAGGTTGTTGTCTAAGAAATCATCCCAAATTCAATAACAAAATAGGTAAAGAATTAAAATAATAGTTTCTGCTAATCTTTAATTAGCATCTATTCCAACAAAGTATGTATATTCGACGAGCTCAAAATTCATGCAGTCTATGCTCCCCTCCGTCGTCCTTCACTGCAATAGGCCGAGATACGGTCAGAAAGGTTGGTTATGTCGAGTAATGTCATTTTATTGGAAATCTCTAGTACGGTCGTAAACCTTTACATACATAAAAGCAAGTTATCAACGTATCATACAAGACAAAATAGAGAAACATTAATTTTTGAAGAAACTCAGTGACCTGATTTATATACTAAAAAAGAAACTTAATAAAAAAAAAGATAGACAGCGAAAAGAGACAAACACTGAATTACAGGCTCTCTTGCAATGGGATAGTCACATCCATATGTAAAGTTATCCGACACATATAAATATGAGACGTCTAGGTTAGCGAAATAAGATATACTTTACTTTGATATAGGACCCATCAGATATTTAATAATTTAAATATATTTTGATGAAAATTATTTGTGGCTAACGGCAGATAATCCAATTTCAACCTTGTTTTATTTACTATTTCTAATGCATTATACGTTCGACCATTACGATTGATATATAATTCGATATGTGGATGTCTTTAGAGGAATTACCATTTGGGTTTGACGAAATGAATTAACTTTTTTCTTTATATAATAATGTTATTTTGTCATATCTGTAATCCAATTACCAACCTGTATTACTTCTTATATCCGTTACCAAACCATTTCACATCGTGTATATCGATTTAGATCTGTCAATTCGGCATTTAAGTACTAAAATTTGAGGCCAAAAAGATAACACAATATTCAAATGAAAAAAAGACAAAGAGACAAACAAGAGCCCACACTATAAATAATGCTTGATCTGTAATTGTAATTTTAATTCTTTTTACAGAATACGAATGGATAACATTGTTGACGATATCAAGAAGGTAAGGATTTTTCTTGATACGTTATTTTAACAAAAATTTAAACACTGACCATGTTATCACGTTTACTAAACAGATAAAAGTCTACATATAGCATGACGCGATATATGTATATTATTAATTTAATCATGCTATATAACTTTTGATATTACACAGAAATGGCAATAACTTGCAGAGTTTGACAAAATCTTTCGAAAGTTTAGATTTTCATTGATCTTCAATTTCAAACATGATTTGACCTTTATACTTCTTGATAGAAGAGCCATTGACGAGTCTTCTATACCATGTATATTCACGAAGACTAACTACTATTCTGGATTGTGATTCCTTGAGTTATAACACTAGATTGATAAGATAATTTCTAAATATTCTTTTTAATGTGCGTATTGTTATGCGTTTACTTTTCTACATTGGCTAGAGGTATAGGGGGAGGGTTGAGATCTCATAAACATGTTTAACCCCGCCGCATTTTTGCGCCTGTCCCAAGTCAGGAGCCTCTAGCCTTTGTTAGTCTTGTATTATTTTTAATTTTAGTTTCTTGTGTACAATTTGGAGTTTAGTATGACGTTCATTATCACTGAACTAGTATATATATTTGTTTAGGGGCCAGCTGAAGGACGCCTCCGGGTGCGGGAATTTCTCGCTGCATTGAAGACCTGTTGGTGGCCTTCTGCTGTTGTCTGTTCTGTGGTCGGGTTGTTGTCTCTTTGACACATTCCCCATTTCCATTCTCAATTTTATTTTTTATAAATTATTTTTTGTTACACTTGTATGATTCAAACGCTGCTGTTTGTATATTTGCCTCTAATGTCCTAATATTGTATGTGTATCATGTATCTCATATAATATTAAAAGGCACCTCGAAAACAGATGTGCACATATAGATATAGAATGATTTGGATATTACCATTAGGTCCCTTTAGCTCATATAGCTATTGAGGTTACTCGGTATTTAAACATTCGGCTTTCAAATTGTTGGCTTTGAGTGTTTTCTATAAAGATAAATCCAGAGAAGATCTTCGGACAGATTCTTCGGGGATATGGTGTAACTTCTAATGAGACAATCATCAACAAAACACAACTTAAATGTACATCTTCTTATATCTATTTACTTTAAGAAGGTTAAGATTTTTTGTTTCTATTATAAATATTTTACACACGGATATGTTTTACTTATGTTTCAATATTCCGGATTCCTACATGCCACATTTGCAAAAATCTCACGCACTGTTTGAATTTTGATATCAGAAATTTCAATATGTAAACCAACAGTTATAACAAAGATTATATGTTCTGTCTCATACATCTCAGATATACATCTTGAATGCACAAATCCGAAATATTCCTTTTTTATAAATTCTATTATGTTACAGCTGCAGGATTCAAACGCTGCTGTTAAAAGTGTCATCGAAAATTTTCGAAAGCTTCAAGACTTTTGGGGCGAAAAGTCGAAGGTAGGACACCGACTCATTTCAAAAGATGTACAAATAGATACATTTAACACTGTCTATAAGGTACATGGACCGATATACGTACATATCAAAAGAAATGTTACTGTCGAGACCAACATAATATCCCTGACCGATATACATACACATGAACGGAAACGGGGCTGTCGAGACAAACATGTTTCGGACAAAAAGTCAAAGAAAGAAGACCAACACATTTCAGAAGACGTACAAATAGACACATTTAACACTGTCTATAAGGTACATGGACCGATATATGTACACATCAACAGAAAGGTATTTATCGAGACAAAATGATATCCCTGAATGAATTGTGTCTTAGAAGACAAGAGGATACTTTTTATGTTTTTCTTTTTGTAGCAGGTGTTGTAGGGTCATGCTTTGTTCTAACTAGAATAATCCTGCAAAATTCTGTAAACATTCATGAATAAATCTAGTGCACTCATAAAAATATTCAGCGCCTAATATTGTAAAAAGTAAAATAACAAAAAAAAAACGAACTCCGAGGAAAATTCTAAACTGAAAGTCCGTAAGTAAATGGCAAAATCATAAGTTCAAACACATAAAAAAAAAACGGATAACAGCTGTCGTTTTCCTGACTTGGTACAGGCATTTTCTTATGTAGAAATGTAATTTAGTTTATCAATACAGTATAAACGTAGGTTAAGACTTATGATGTACGACATATAAAATCGAACAGGTAGTTTACTGATGTCGGGATTAAACATTGTTAAAGGTTAACCCACATTTTTACATAATGTTCAGTAGGAATAATGTATAATAAAAACATCATATATACCAAACTGAGAAATTTACAACTCATTAAAAGAACGGCATCATAAACTAAAAGAAATTACAAATAGGAATGGAAAGCTCTTCCCATTTATCATACATTTTGATATGGAAATTGCAATGAATTATTAGAAATGAATAGATCGGCTATGTTAATATGATTCTTTAATCTTTCATTTGATATTTCTAAAGTGTTAACGTCAAATGTGATTAAAAAAGAACTACAATAAAAAGAATACATTTGAAGGAATAGTTAGTCACTGAACGAACATAGATGATATCTACCAAACTTGAAATGGCTTTGAAATATCAAACATCAGTTATCTTCTGTTGCTTAAATTCTCGTTATTAATTACATGTTTTATGAAAAAAACGGTATTTGTAGTTTTATATTAAAATTATGGCGTATACCAAAGTGACATTCACATTAATTAGTCCAAAACAAAACTTGCAAATTCATGGCAAATCACGAAACACTACATTATGACAAACAAAATACAACAAATCATTAACCAAATAACAGAGCAATACAAATCCAACCAGATCTCAGTTGCTCCGGAAGGGAAATCAATCTTGCTTTCCATGATGCAACGGTCGTGTTATCAATGTTTAAGCATAGATGCGGTGGTAAAACTCATTTGATAATGTCAGTTTTGAGAAAAGACGGAATTGTAACAGTGGTAATGAAAATTTGAAAATATCCTTCTTTATCCTTTTGCAGTACCCTATTCCAAATCCTTCGAAGAAAGAGAATCCAGATGATGCATATTTGTATGCAAAAGTTATTACAAATATATAAATAAAAAAATAAATGACGAAATCTTTCTGTTTAACATTTCTGGATATTTATCTATCGTTTAGAGGTTCTGTTGAATAATAGTTTTTGCGTTGATTATGGTATTTATTGCAGACACGAATAAACAAACATCACATCAATTGTTTTGGTGACTCTCCAATCATCTTTTGCAACACGTTGTGATATTTGTTTTCAATACTCATCAAATTTGGTTGGACACTAACGTCAATAATGAATCGCACGAAGGCAAAACGTTTGTCTGATGTATTAAATTAAATACCTGATATATTTGATGAGATATTGTTAGATAATGCTGTAATACTCATGTTCAATACATATTTTTTCTTTATAGGGTTCCAAGGATTTAAAAAGATCAATTCTAATTCAGGCCCGACAACCAAACGCTACAAGACAAATACATTTTGTAGATAACGAAATTTTTCCAAAGCTTAAAACCTTTTGGGAAGAAAAGACCAAGGCGGAAGAAAATCGACACATTTTAAATGATGCACAGATAGATACATTTAATACTGTCTATAAGTTACATGGACCAATATACGTGCATATTCACAGAAAGAAAATTGTCAAAACAATGATTATAGCCGTCAATGAAAAGGTTCCTAGAAGACAAACAGAGACTTTTAAAAGTTTTCTCGCTGGAGCAGGTGTTTTAGGGGTTTGCTTTGTTCTGGTAAGAATGTTAATGCCACATTCTGTAAACATTCGTTTGATCTAGCATTCCCTCTTAAAATAAAACTAACCAACGACACCAGGCTTAAACATGTTCAAAGTTACCAGCATAACACATGTTCAAAGATACCAGGACCAACATGTTCAGTTGCTATTTATCTAATGTTGATCCAAATATATTTGTATGGGACTTATGATGGACAAGAAATCATAGATAAAACAATCGAAACGGGCATCTTGAACTAAATTTTAATGTGCGTATTGTTATGCGTTTACTTTTCTACATTGGCTAGAGGTATAGGGGGAGGGTTGAGATCTCATAAACATGTTTAACCCCGCCGCAATTTTGCGCCTGTCCCAAGTCAGGAGCCTCTAGCCTTTGTCAGTCTTGTATTATTTTTAATTTTAGTTTCTTGTGTACAATTTGGAGTTTAGTATGGCGTTCATTATTACTGAACTAGTATATATATTTGTTTAGGGGCCAGCTGAAGGACGCCTCCGGGTGCGGGAATTTCTCGCTGCATTGAAGACCTGTTGGTGACCTTCTGCTGTTGTCTGTTCTATGGTCGGGTTGTTGTCTCTTTGACACATTCCCCATTTCCATTCTCAATTTTATTATAAATGTTTTAGGATTAACGACAACCTTATAGCGAAATTTACATGACAACAGTTTGAAAAGAAATATTGTATAAAGTAAAATTACAAAAATACTGAACTCCGAGGAATATTCAAAACGAAAAGTCCCTAATCAAATGGCAAAATCAAAGGTCAAACACACCGAACGAATGCATGACAACTGTCATATTCCTGACTTGGTACAGGCATTTTCTTCTGTAGAAAACTGTGGATTAAACTTGGTTTTATAGCTAGCTAAACCTCTCGCTTGAATAAAAGTCGAATACAATTTCATTGCAACGATGTGTGAACAAAACAAACAGACATTATAGGTAAAAATATCAAAAATAGTAGAACAGCTGTCAACATTGTTTTATAATCTTCATAATTATAAAAACAATCAAATATGTAACAAAGAAGCTCAAAAAAACCTATAGACAAATACATTAGCAAACATGAAAGACGATGACACAAAAATTGGACCATAGAACAATAACACATGACGGGATGTATAAGTACAGAGCCACATCATTTGTTACAAAGAAACAAATAAACAAAGCACATTAGCAAAAATGAATGAAAAGAATACAAAAATTGAACCATAGAACAATAACACAATGACGGGATGGATAAGTACAGAGCCACGTCATTGTTTACGAAGAAACCTATAGACAAAGTACATTAGCAAAAATGAATGACAAGAATAGAAACATTGGACCATAGAACAATAACACAATGACGGGATGTATAAGTACAGAGCAACGTCATATGTAACAAAGAAACACAAAAAGGCATACATACAAAGCTCATTAGCAAAAATGAAAGACAAGAATACAAAAATTGTACCATAGAACAATAACACAATGACGGGATGTATAAGTACAGAGCCACGTCGAAATCAATTTGATAAAGGTGAAAAAATAAGAAAGATGTGATAATAATATTTTTAGAATGGGCACTGTTTTAAATGTCTAGTGAAAATACTATGGAGATGTTACATTTCAATTTTGACTTTATATAATTTAATTTTGGATGTAACACTTGTTAGTATTGGTTATCAGCTCATAGCCATAATGTTTTCATGTGACCATGACGTCATCAACGGTTGTCATGATTTACTTCTTAAAAATGGAATTTATAATTAAATTTCTCCAAAGTCAGAAAAAAATATCACAGTCATTCCTTAAATGGTGGTGACAAATTAAAATCAAAATTTCGATGAATAAACATAAATAAAAAAAAACAAGTAGATACAACTTGAACAGGAAAAGCCATTATAATTCTGACGTCAGAACGCTTTTTTGAAATGTAATTTCCCTTAAACAAAATGAAAGATGCCCTTGAAAAATTGACCAATCGATTCAATGAACCACATGTAATGTAGAGCTATTACTAAGTCACATAAGAACACGTAAAATTTGGTTGAAAAGGGTTATTTTATATATTGTACTTCGAATGTTCATGCTTATTTTTGTTTTTTCATCTAATGTTATATTAGTAATCTATATTTCACTATCTTCAATATGTATGCTTAGCTTTAGAAAAGCAGTTAAGCAGATTCAGCATTTGACTGTGCATATCCTCTCAGAGTAAAAAAGAAGTGGCTTAATATTTCTATTTCATACAATAGCTTTTAAAGTGTCTATTATCAAAACGAATCACTTGATATCGCACCATTGTTAAAACAATTTGAAGTATACCATTGAATTTTTTGCGTTGTTTATTTTAAACTAACATGCTTTCATCGAGCATAAAAGATAAGAGTACTCAACTTGACGATATCAAGCAATACAGTCTGCAAAGCACAATGGGTTTAAAGGCAGACAACGAATTTATTTAGAATTTTGATGTAAACAACCGGGAATATAAGTTTGTTAAATAATGTTTACCCGTATAAGATATTGTAAATTGAATAACAAATGAACTTTATGTGTTTCTCGAATTAATGTTTTAGCAATATTCGTTCACGTGAATCTATGTTGACAATAGGAATTCAAAAGTTCGAGTTCCTACAATTTTAATACTTTTACTCAATATATGAAGGGAAATATATTACTAGTCTGGTAATTAATGGACCATACTTAGAAACGTTGACCATGTTTAACATTGTGTTAAGTCTGTATGAATCAAACATCTGTTTCCTTGACATCAACCTGAGTTCTGTCTAAGTGACAAATTGACGACTACCTTTAGTTTCTTATCCCTGGGACGTAGGAAACTGTATAATTCGTACATCTAAGTGATATATACCACCCAGAACTTTTATCAATTAACAAAATGTATTACATTGTGTATTATGATTTAGAAAACAACGAATTAGCATTTTGATTTAAAATCATGCGCAAAAGAAGAAATTGATAATATATATTTAATGATTTAATCCTGAAATATCGACTGCTAAAACATCAGCCAGTCTTGAATTCCTGCAGTGTAATTTTCAATATACATTTTGGCTCCTCTAATTTCTAGGATGACTATGACACATTTTGATTGTAAAATATGACCACTCCGGACATTATTCTACTTTTATATTGGAAAACACTTCTGCAGGCACACAGTTCAAAACAAAAAATGGATGAGAAATACTGGTACCAAGCACACTTATACTACCTATCTGTTAATATCAATTGTTTTAGTACAAATGTATATAAACATGATAAAAGGACGTTGAATTTTCTTTTAAATTGTTTCAAATTTTATCATACTGGTCACTTTTGTAGGTTACAATAAGTTATCAATTTGTCTTGATATTGAAGGCCGTGATGTAACATAGAGATGCTTACATGAACACCCTCTGGTCTCTGGTAGGTAGTTGTCACAATCAAAACGTATCTTCTGGTGTTTTTAAACAAGACAAAAGTAAAAGAACAGAAGAAAAACATCCTACAAAACAAACCTACTATTTAATGCTCTTGAAAGACTTCTTGGAGAGCCGTGGTGTACTGGTTAGTGCATCGGACTACTAACTCTAAAGGTTCCTGGTTCGATCCTTCCGGGGAAAAAATTTCAGGGACTGAATTTTCGGCTCTCCCATGACACCATTTGCGAGTATGGTCTTGAGAAACGATGATAGTCCATCGGAAGGGGACGATAAATGGCTGACCTGTGTTAAGAGAGAACCATATCTCTTGCACGCAAAAGACACCCTTGTAGATTTCAAAAAAGAGCAGGCTAATGTCGCTACAAGGCAGAACTCGCGCCTTCAAAAATGAAAGGGATTATTATAAGTTGCAATAACTTGTTTCCCAATCCACTATAAATGAATATGTTTAAACTAAGGACTTATAGTTCGTGTTTCAATTGGGCAATAATAAACAACTAATCAATTGACACATTGTAACTGTGGGCTATAGATGGGAAGCTATTGACAAAAGTACAATGAATAAATTCATATTCAAATATGACGAACGAAGTTGTGTATAATCGATAAGTGTATGGATCTATTATAAGTGTTATCAGTTAAAAAAAGTTAACTGTTAAATTTGAAAGAAATCAGTAAATTTCAAAATTAGCTATTAATATATTGATAACAATTATTTAGTTTTTTTTACTGGTAGGATCGGGTAAATGTGTCGTACAATGGACAATGCAACAATGTTGATCTATCTTTTTATGCAATTCTTTATTTTGGTTAATTTTTCCTAAAAATACAAGTAGATGTAAGGTATATTCTATACTGAATCATACCACCAATCATAATACGCATATGTTATCCATAGGACGAAATACAGTGTAGGACCATGCAATTATGTCCAACTTTAGCAATAAAAGGTCAAGCTCTAAATCGTTCCTAATCTATGAAAATTATGATTACATTAAACAGATATCTTCAACGATTTGATTATATTTTCTTTGAATAAAAGAAATTAAAATATGAAACGATATAATCAAGGACGGGGTTCAGAGGGTGGTAAAGAGGGGTATGAACACGGAAACACGTGAAATGAAAATCACAAAAACGTTGCACGGAAAATAAAAATCGGGAAAAACGAAGCACGAGAAATAAAATCGTAAATATTAACGAAAAAATACTAGAAGTTATTACTCAGCCGTTCTTGGAGATCATGCAGTCATTATTAATGGACATGAAGACCCTGCGGTCACCTTTTAGCGTCCGCTAGTTGCATCTGATTTGAAAAAAAAAATATTATTCATAGTAATTTGATGAACTTTATTACATACCATACATATACAATAGAATTGCATAATTTATAACAATATCCCAGCTGACTTTGAATTAGTCCCAGTTTACTTTTTAATCAAATGCGGGACAAGCACGAGAAATTAAGGGTACCGACACGAGACACGGAAATTAAATATGGGGAAACACGAAGCACGCACATCAAACCAAACACGAGAAAACGAGAAATAAAACCTCAAAACACGAAAATTCGTGCAATAAAACGGCCGAAAACGTTGGACGAAAATAACCCTTTACCACGGTTCATGACTTTGGATAGACACAGGTTAAATTTAGTTTCTATCATAAGACTATCGATAAGTAAACAAATAAGTATTTATGGTGCATTCAATTCAGTAAACATTTTCTGACTAAAACATTTGTATGATGAATAAACAATAATCAATAATTTAAAATGTTATTATATGAATAAATATAATGTGTTTTTGTTTATTAGTGGTTCCAACATGAAATAATATTAAATGAATGATGCATCTCAGATGAATTTGTATGTTCTATTTATAACGTTCTTTCTATTATTCGAGACGGCAAATTCTGAAACAGAAAAAAACAAAATGATATATTGTTTTTCTTCTCAAATGGGCCAAGTTGCATTTGAGGAGAGATTGCCAACCATTT